GTATAGAGAATATGTTAAAGAGTAAAGGAGGATAATGATAATAAATCAACAACATAGAAAAAAAATGGTTTGTAAATTTTTAAAGCAAAGTGAAAAAATTATACCACAGCATGGCCCTGTCAGGAATAATATTCTATCTCAAATTGTTTAGCTTTTTTTACCATTCGCTACATCATCTCCCCACCTGCCAATCAATGCTGTTGCCCTGGCTAAAGCATCTCTTCTTTTCTGACGATGTTTTCTGTTGACTTTGTCAGCCAGGGCAAGTCCTAACTGGTCCCTTTTTTTAGGTTCTGGCATTTTAAAGGTTGGGCCAGGGGTGGCAGTTATTGGTGTATCACCTCCATCCAATCGGAAAGGAGTTCCTTCAATGCTGCCCCAAGTCATTAGCGGTGATGCATCTACACCTGCATGGAACCAAAGTACCATCAAAGTATTCTGGAATTCTTATGCACAAGAATTGTTCTCTTAATAAAACTAGAGACACAAATACAGCATTTTCTGTTTTCATTTAGAACAGGTGTTTATCATTTTATGAAAATGAGTTGACTATAGGCCAATTAAGAAACTTTGTGAAAATTTTCAATTTTGATGATTCAAGGGATACATTTTTCAAAAACTTTTGGCAATAAGACAAACCCCTTAAAATTTTCCAGAACTGAAAAAAAATAGCTCAGCTTGTAGGCTGTTGTTTTGTGAAAGTACTATACAGAGTCATTTCTGGTTACAGGAGACATACTTTACCTGTGTCAACCAGTCAAAAATTCTCTCCACTACATCTTCACTCTCCAATAACTCAAAAACTTGTCTATAATGTGTAATATTCTAATTTTTGCCTTTAAAAAAACCTTTTATCACATACTTACTTGCTTGCTGTTATGCCAAACCATGATAAGACATGATAATCTCAGTCAGATTTGGCTCGAGTTAATCATTTGCTTCCTCAATCATTATTTGTCAGGTGTTTTGTTTTTGTTTGTTTTTATATAATAAATGACCTTGGTAAAAGGTGCTAAGCCTCCGTAAAAAAAAAAATTCAATTACCTGGAGCAGGTGAGGGTGTGGCAACAAAACCATACCCATTCACTCGTGGAGTTTCACCAGCACCTTGGATCTGCCCATCTACTCCAACTTTGCCTTGTTTTGCAGCTAGACGACTTGCTGCTTCAGCAGCAGCAGCCAACTTATTATCACAAGAATCATTAGGAAATGGATCCCTTTTAAATCTACTGTTTTCATGCTGTATTTGCTGTCTTTTAGTAAACTTTCCCTCTATTTTCTCAGTAACAGAAAGCTCAACGCCATCAGGGTAATACATCAGAGCATTTTTGTTGGTGTAATTCCATGTCTCAATCATTGATGGTCTCTCCTCATTTTTGAATTGATCACCATTTTCAGGAGCTGGTAAAGCAAGAGTTTTCTCTCTCCTCTCTTTCTGTTCTAGTTCTTTCTCATATAGCCACTTATATTTTTCTCTGTGTTTTTGGGCAGCAGTGTCCATGATCTGTTCAAAGGAAGCATTATCTTCACTGGTGTTCTTTACAAGAAACTTGTCTAGTGATAAGTCGGAATCCTGTTTCTTACTCTCTGACTTGTCACCTGCTAAGTGATTTCCTGTCGGAGCACCACTAGTCTCTCTGTTATCTGATGTCATTGTACCTGAGGGTGCTGGTGTTCCTTGAATAGTACTGGGAGTGTCAAATGTAGCTGGTGTAGCTGAAAGTAAAAAAAGAAACAACCTCCTTTAAATACATGCAAACTGTAAAATAGTTAATCTGGACTAATGAAAATCAATGTTTTGTTTTTGCCATAATATGTTACTTTCAGAGTCTACCACCACTTTCAAGACCTCTAACCAATCTCTACTTAGCCTGAAGCAGGCTATCATTATTAGGTTTCACTTTACAGCCCCTCTCTGGGTACTGCCACCTATTACAACATCTGCAGCCACTTATGGTAAAAGTCATTACAACTGTTGTGTTGTGTTATGAATGTTTGGATAAGAGTATACCTGACACTTCTAAAATGAAAGAAAAGTCATCATCAGATATTAAGTAACTGTCTCTGAGGATGACTTCTACTATTTCTATTGTTCAAAACAAAGGTCACTTTCAGTAAACAACAGTTACTTCCAGGACAGATGATCACATCTCACTATTAGCCAACAGTCCACTCTTATGCTACCCCCCTGTTTTTGTTTCATACATTAACTGATATAGTGATGGAGGCTCAAAATAATGCATCAGCGGGGGGTATAAGAACATAGTTTACTTTTATCGAGTGAGTTGATAATGTACAATAAGCTCTGTAAAGAGTTTCTGAAGGTGACCATTCCAGCACCTGCCCTTTGTAAGAGCAAGTAGAGGAATTGTGATTAATATCCACTCTGAGAACAGGCTAATACTCAAAATGTCAGCTCTAAAAAAATCTTTACAGAGGCCATTTTACATTATCAACCCAGTTGATAAAACCAAATTATCTTGAAGCCCAAAATAGTTCATGTGATCCTTCAACAAAATGTGCATTACCACGAAAAAAATTGCATTCAGTACTTTCATTTGTACTCACCCAAAGAACCACCTGGTGTTTGTGTCACTTGATATCTGGCTGAAATTTCGCGTAACTTCTCCATGTCATTATGTTCAACGGCATCAAGGTACTCATGCTGTGCTCTGAGTTTTGAAAGCTCAGGGAAGAAGTCCCGTTGAATGATTTTGTTCAAAGACTGTAAAGAGAAAAAAACAACTTTTTGTGTATCTGATATACATAAAATCATACTCAATTTATTGGAAACCTTTTCATGTCAAATTAAAATAGGGTAATTTGGTACTATCGACTGAGTTGATAATGCAAATTGAGCACTGTTAAGCGTTTCAAAGCCGATGTCTCAAGCATAAGCCCTTTGAGATAGGTCATATGTTCAGATGGACTCTACTGATTATACTATCAGGGGGCCCTTTTCTTTAAAAGTCTCAGTGGCAAGATTTTCATACTGCAATATACAGTGTACTTCATGATGCACAAAGTTCTTTGATAAAAGCAAATGATCACAAAAAAAATAGATTAGGCCCAAGGCTTTATTTCAGATTAGTACAGGGTTAGACAGAAATCTTTCCATTCCAGTAAAAATTCAGGCCCTTAGAAATAAAGAAGACTAGAGTGTGGGTCTTGGCTGAAAAATAATTCAGTTTTATTCCCTCATATCATAAATTTTTCAATGTCAAACCTATCGATATCTCGATCATAAATGTAAACATAACCAACATAAAAAAGCTTTTTGGGGGCTCATAATTACTGTTTCTTTCCAGAAACAGGCCCCAGGTGTGATATCCTGTAGAATATAAAATAAATATACACAACATAACCACATAAATTACATGATCTAAAAGTAGGCTTGTGACACAGTGATATAGTAAGATATAGTAAGTACGGATACCCAACAAACGAATCTATTTAACAGACTGTCAAATCAGGCAGTCGATACTTCCCTTAGCTTTTTCCCAATAATACAAACGAATGACATGACGGTGTAAACCTTTCTAAAGACACTCACCTGAATGTAAGTTTCTTCATCAAGTACTTTGACATGACCTTTTCCTTTCGATTCTGTGGTAGATTGTTGCACCGTACTAACACTCAACTGATCCCCCCTTTTTACTAACGCCATGTTAATAAATTTTCGTAAAGCGTTCGGCTCCTTATCCCGTTGAAGAAAAGGTAAGTGAGACGACAAAGTTACGTTTTACCTCGAGAGCTGTCCGCCATATTGAGCTGTGACGAAATTACTTAGTAACCTCTCGACGTAATAAACATGAACTCGCTGCTTTGCGCACTTCCGGTCACCCTCGACGAGGATCTACAGTTGCCGTAAAACTGCCCCCTACTCTCAAAAGAAAATATACGTAAGGGTAGAAAGTAGAAGAAGGGGAGGGGGCGGTGGCGGCTGTACACAGGCATAGTAGGTAACGGAGGAAGAAACCATGAGGCTGGAAAATATAACCGTGTTTGCACAGGATACTGTAAAGTCACAAGAACCATGTTGCTCGCTTTCATCAGTCTGTGACAGGCACTGCCAAGTACAGGTGTGGCTTTTTCGGGTACGTTCCATTTTCTGCTCACCCTATTTTTTCAAAGCTCCCAACAAAGAAAAAAGAAACCTTTTGGATTTTTCACATTATTCTTGGCCATCGTTGTTTTGATTCAACTGATTTTTAAAGAAAACCTATAACATGATAACCTAAGTCATCGTTAAACATATTCCGGGCATCATTGAAATAGGGAATGATTAATTGGAGGCTAAAGAATTTAAGCTCATCAGTAGGAGCTAACCTTAGTTTAAAACTATACTTATTAATGTTCCAATGTAACTTTTCCTTGTTAAAGTCATAAAGCAAGTCTGATACTGAATCCTTCACACCCCGACTTCAGCGTATGTTCTCTATACATTTGCTGTTGTACTGACTAGGAGAATTTGTTTGACAGTCAAGAACTTCAAGATTGAAATGGTGATCATTTCCTTTAATCTAATGACCAGAGTGTTTGATTTAGCAGCCTTACCATGGGGTAGGAAGATGCTAGTCACTCTTTACCCTTTACACCCTAAAATCAGTATGCATATTCTCCATACTGTTCTCTAAACATTTCCTAAAATGCTGACAGAGAATTTGTCAAAAAATCAAGAGCTTCTCTTGTTGGTGATCAGCTCCTTTATTCTCCTGACCTTAATGTTTGATTCAGCTGTGATATGGTAAGGGGAAAATGGATGCCTGTCACTCTTAGGAGTTACAGAGTTAAGGATTTAATGGTTGTACTCTTCCACTCCCTTGATCTAAATTTTAATTCTCTGCACCATCTTTCACACATTTCCTTCCAATTTGGCACTGCAACTATGGTGTTGAATCAAACAATACCCTTGTGTTGATGTTTCTTTCTTTGCATTTTAGATCATTCCTCCCTCCCAAGTTAAAAACTAAACATGGAAAATCAGTCACTGACAAAAATTATTTCAAACAATGGCTTTATTTGTTCCTGCACTATAAATAAATCACTCACACTAATAAATTAGTCTAGTCCAAGCCAAAAACAAAAAAATAAGCACAGTTTAACATGCAGTTTGGAATTCCTACAACAGCCTATGTATTTGAGTTTTTCAATGAAAATTAACTGCACTACAGAATAATATATGTATTTCATGGAATGCTAAGAAAAAAAGAAAATGTCATCCTTTGACCCATTTGTGCTAATGAATGTCATGGATTCCCAAAAACTATTCCTACATTATTACATTAATACTCTTAGCACTCAGACACACTGCCCAGCTAGGCTGGGTCTTTTACTTAAAAGAAGTCTTGACTGCACGCTCATGTAAGGGACAAGGTGGGCGATAATTTCCAACCATTGGCTTTCCATCACGATTCATCACGGATCTGAATGCTTCCATCTAAATAAAGGAATACAAGAGATGAATGTAAAAAACTGCTCAAGCTGCCTAGATATTTTTTATTTTCCTTCAGGGAGCAACAAAAGAAATTAGTTTCCATCTCCTTTTTATCAATCAATTTATTTACATCGATCATGGATTTACCAGTACCAGTATCCTTTCATATGCTGGCCTTTTTTTCAACCAGGTGTGCTCATATTTACTATACACACTGGATAATTTACCAGAATATTTATTAGTGGAAATCTTACATTAAGAAGACACTGGTGACAGTCCCCTAAGTATCCACTGATGTGGGTTTCCCCACATTATATTGGTCTTCACCTACATTAGTCATTTTGATTGTTTTAAAATTATTGTTCCCTTTTTCAGAGGGAAGTTGAATGTCTTTATGTCCAAGGTTTGGCTGACATACTCACATACTTACACATTTGACCATAAATGAATCATTTGAACTAGAGGTTGATATGTGCAGTGATATTCAGTCAAATTTCCACCAATAGAAGGCCAGCACTAAAGCTTACAATAGTTTGTCTTTATATCAGTTGAGATGTCTGCCTTCTGCCTGCTATCAGGATGTCAAGACATCACTGAAAACCAGCTGATAAGCCACTAACCATCAATTTGACAAACCAAGTTTTTTATTGGCCCATGAACAGCTCAGGGTTGATTGATAAGCTAAACAAGGCCACCAATTGTTTGAATGATGCAATACATTGATCTGATAGTTAACATAACCTGATTACATGAACAATTCAAAATACTTTTTTTTTCTTTTCATAGAATCTGAAGAATGAATGGTACATACCTGGGCTTTAGACACTTCAAGAGGTTTCTTAAATACAATCCATTTGACGCATTCAGCCAGAGGGGGAGTGGTAAGGGAACCATCGTAGGTATAATAATCTGTGAGGGCTGCAAAATAATGAATGTGTCAGGTTGTATTAATATAAAAATCAAATGTTTTAACGGGAATAAGTGACTAAAATTTGTGAGATTAAGAATCAGGACTTACTTGCTGGCAAAATAGCCTGCATATCATACTTCCCAGGCACTGTGACAGAGGTTCCCTAAAAGAATGTTTTAAATCAGTTTATTTTTCTCTCTAAAATAGCTTACTGTATCTAAATGATGAGCATAAACTTAACTAGACATGATTACTAGCCACTATTCAGGAAATATGCCTACACTCACCCCCTTCTCAGAACAATCAAAGACCAAACTCAAGAAAGGAGCAGAAATAAAACCTAAAACTTAACCTTTTTACACCTGAACATCAGAAAGCAAATTCCCCATACTGTTCTTTATGCATTTCCTAGGAGAATTTGTATAACAGTTGAGAGCTTCTTTAGTTGGTGATGATTTCCTGTAGTTTTGTGACCTTTAAGTGTGTTTCTGGGGTAATATTGTAAGAAGGAACTACATGCTAGTTACTCTTAGGGGCCAAAGGTTAAGAACAGAAAGTTTTAGAAGGTCAGAATACTTACAGGATCTTTCACTTGAGGAAGTAAGTCTATGATTGGTTTCAGGGCTGCATTTTCTGCTCCAACCTACAAAGGGCAACACCAACTTAAGATAAATTTTCTGATGCAGTCAGAACACCATTCCAAATTGAGAACACTGAAAAAAAGTACCTTCAAGAAGAATCCTAACACACATAAACCATTTGGGCCGCCAGAGCCAACAGCATCCTTGAAACTGGGACAAGTTGAATTCCAGTGAACAAAATGTAACTACAAAAAAGAGAGATAAAACAAACAAAGAAGTACACTTTGTATTTGAAAGACAGTTGTGGGAGGGGGGGGGGGTGATTATGACCTCAGGCCACTTTTAAAATATTAAGGCAAAATGTTTAAGGTTTTGATTCAAAGAAAAAGATTTTTAGTCATGAAAATTAAGACCATCAGTGTTTTAATTCCCTTCAAGGAAGTTCAGAGAGTTGAGAAATTTCAAAATAGTGAAATTTTACACCCCAAGGACTAATTCCTGTTGGGAGTCACATACCAGTACCTGTTGAGACCAAAAGAGGGAGTCTTCCCTTCCCCACCATCTCCCCCACAGACAAATTTTTTCAACACTGTCCAGTCATGTAGAAATATATTGTGGACATGGGATTGTCCAATTGCTGTACCTTACTTCTGCAAGTGTTAACAAAAATTCTTTTTTCCTTGTTTATATGATTTTATGACACAGAAGAAGTGACAGCTAACTTAAACTAGGTGACAAGAAAATGAAAGTGATATTCCTTTAATACTCTAAAAGCCTTATAGTTCAGTATACAGCTGACGGGGAATACAAGGGTGCAAAAGGTTGTGTAATTATTGATATTTTTACAGGTAAAATGAAAAAACAAAAACAAAAAAAATGTTCTGACACTTATGTGATGAAAAATTATCAAAATTTCACCTCAGGGTCTGTAATATTACTACATTTCTTTTACCTCGGCTGGGTACATCTTTCCATCTACTCTGTGTTCTGAGCCCTCGGCGTCATTGCCACCCCAGTGAAAATGAAATTGCTCAAAGTTGTACTTTGCAGTCAACATTCCTCCAGTTAGTTCTGATGCCAAAAAGTGTTAAAACTAATATCAACTTTGGACAAATGCCATGACAACTGAATGATATTAGAGCAATGTAATTAAGTATATTTTGAAAAGTTTAAATAAATTAAGCAGCTAAATAATACTCATCTAATACAATCCTAAAACACAATTCCAACAGTACAAATCTGTTTTCTGTGTCGCAGTGAACAAGTCATGGTAGTATTTCGATATTTTTTTTTCGCTTTCATTTTGTGTTTTAATGCTTGCAGGAAAAAAATAAAAATTAAAAAATTAAAATAAAAAAAAAAGAAAGAAGAAGAAAAGAAAATATTTTAACATGTGAACATCAGGTGCAGGAATATTACATAAGTGAACAACACGTTGCCTCTATAAGACTAGTGATAAATAAACATTGTATTTTGAGAAGTCTAAATGAATTAGGCAGCTTGACAATACTTATCCAATACAATCCTAAAATACAATTCTCATAATACAAATCTGTTCTCTGTGTGGAAGTGAACAAGACATGGTAGCATTTCAATATATATATATTTTTTTCTTTTATTTTGTGTTTTAATGCTTGCAGTTGGAAAAAAAAAGAAGTAGAAGAAGAAAAGAAAATATTTTAACATGTGAACATCAGGTGCAGGAATATTACATAACTGAGCAACACGTTGCCTCTCTAAGACTAATGATGAATAAAACATTACATGTAATAATTTATGGTAATATTATTTATTGCTTTTTTTATTTGTTGACCACTCTAGAAACAAAACAACCCTCCTTTCATTTCTACGGGTTTGTGAATTGAAGCGAACTGTTTTAATTGAAGTTGGCGTCGTCTCAGTGTCACCATCCAGAACAAATTACTGTATTGGGTACTCAAAACGAGCCTTGGTGAACTATATACTATCGAGGGTCTGAAGAGAAAAAACTACGTCGTTTGAACTGTTTGTTTGATATTTGTTCGGAGCCAAAAATTGCCATAAGCTCATAAATAGACTAATCGAGTGCTTCCTGACAGTAATTTCAATATTCGCTCTGTTTGAGATGTAAGAAAGCTTTTGTCATTAATTTTTTGTGCAAGAGTGCAATTACGTAAGACATATTGTGCATCTGAAGTACTCCTTGTTTCGTGAATAAATATCCTTAAGTAATTATATGCAATATGAAGCGTTTAAGGACCGTTATTATTGTTCTTAATTTAAATTCATTCGATGGTTGGTGCGTTCAGACATTTCCTTATCGCTGCCAATAGCCTTTTTCGTGCGGGGAAATAACGAGATAAGTTTTTGGGACGACACTATCGCTTAAAACATAACAACGGTTGGATTGGGACGAGACGGAATGGAGACATGGGTGTGCTTGGGGTGTGACCAAATAAATAATACGCGTCGGCTTTCATCACACACTGCCAGAACGGTCGCAAAAAAGTGCCTAACGAGCTCAAGGCATTTTCATCAATACCAATCACGCACGGATCTTCTCCTCGTTTAACAGATGCGAACTAACTCACAAAAATATTTCTCTAGGTAGAAAATAACGATTGCTTGAAAAAATATTCTGGGTTGTTTTTTTGAAGAAAGAAAATTCACGCAGAAGAACGACTCAAGTGCAATATTGTTAGGGAGACTAAACAAATAAAAACACACTCCCGACTTTAACTGAGAAGGATCCAAAGTTAAGACGAAGTTTTCCTTTCTATCTTTTAATCCGATGCCTAGAGCCATCAATTTTGCCATCTGCATCAGTCTTCCTGTCTCTATATTTGCTATTCGAAAATGAGAGCCGCTTTGTTTTCTGCTTTGTGGTTTGCAAATTAGCTTGTTCCATGTTCAAACAGAAATTTACCCATGTACATATGTTAATGGATGATTGTTTACCTGATGGATTTCCAGGACTCGGTTGGAACTGCACGGAATGGCCGTTGTTCAAAAACTTAGCGTCACTAAACGGAGTATACTTCGCAGTCAAGGGCTTCAGACCAGAGTCGTACTTCGCTTCACCGGTGATTAAATCGATCGGCGATTGATTCTTACCATTAGCTATCGGACAATCTTTGTGCCAGTGTGCGGGACCTGTCGACGAAAAATTTGAAATTGTGTTTATTTACGTAGGATCGGAAGCTAGAAGGAAATAAAATTCACGATTACTTGGATCGCGCTGCAACTTTATCATCTCCTACGTGGAGAACGTTTGTTTTTTGCAAACACGAAACAAAATTGTTATGATCGCCAAAGTGTTTAACTTACCATTCTCTTTTTCGTAACCCCAACCTACCATGGTTGCTTGCTATCTGAAGTAAAGGACTTTTGCAAGGCAAATGCGACTCAGATTAGTCAAGCTACTTCTTATGTAGTGGAAGCTGGACGAATAAATTATATAAGACAACAGATCGTCCAATGACAGTTTTCTCTGTGGAAAGAGGACAATATTAATTATGCGTCAAGTGTCTGGGACAAGTTTACGGTTCTTGAACATTGACGTGGGGAACGTCAATCGTGAGTACATTTCCGAACCCCCGCTGACAAAAATATAAACTGTTGATGGACAAAATATTCTTTCGTGACACAGAAAGCCCTCTTTTCAGTCTTAGTGTGATAATATTCTCTAACGTTTTGATCCCTCTGAAAAGCTTAATATACATTTCCCCCATATGATATTACTCCATTCTATCTTTAAGCTGAACTATTGTAAGGCTCATTCTCTTCAGAGCGTCACATGTAAAGGTCGTGCGGAGCGCATGTTTCGTAGGTTACCACCAGAAAAGAATCGTCTCGCTTTTAAATCCGTACAACGTGGCGCAGGGCTTTTCGACAAAATTTCCAGGTTTTCGGCAAAAATTATCTCGAGAAGCCATCATAATAGTGTGTTTGCTATTTTCTGACGCAAATTTGTCATTAGCAACTCGCGAAGTTGTCTAGAAGTCTATCAGAGATTGTTCAATCTGTGATTAGTTGTTATGTTTATTTTTTGTCTAATATTATTTTCTAATTCTTTTTTTGTCTTCTGCACGTTGATCATCACGTGCATTGATGGTGTGATTTCCACACCTAACAAATTTTGCACTCCAGCCTTCATGCAGAGTTTGGCTACGTTTGATAAGTAATTCTTAGCACGTACATCGTAAACGCCTGAGGGTTCTCGTGCAGATCACAGACGACTCTACCACTGCGATAGACTTAATTTTTACAAAGACCTTCTTAGTTAAGCTTAATCGAACTTGTAAAATTGTGCCAAAATTTTTTTTCCTCTCTTTCCTCATTATATCTTTCAGGTCAGGAACACATTAACGACAGCTCGAGGCCAGAATGTGCTACGCACGTGGTACTGAAATAGGTATTGAAATAGACGCCGACGGAGGGGGACTGGTGAGAGGAGTTTTCAGCCGGAAAACGCAGGAGATTTCTTCCTGAGGGTGATTCTTTGACTAAACAACCAGTCCTATAGAATCGATAAGGACCGCAAAGGAATTCACACGGCTAAAAGGGGAAAGGAAACTTGAAAATTAGCCAGTACGTGACTAATATTAAGCACTTAAAGCCGGAAAAAGAAATCTAATATCACTTCATAACCGACCCGCCAAAAGGTCAATTCAATTTAATGAAACTTTTGAAAGAGTGGATGATTAAAGAAAAAAATTGTAAGCTACAAGAAGATAAAAATAGGCTTTTGGGCGGGTTTGTAGATCAAATTTGATCATGAAAACTCGTTGCTGAGCGATAAGTGATATTCGGTGCGGAATAATGATTTCTTCTATATCACATGCTCAACCAAATATCTCTTTCCTTATTGGTCAATAACGAATGCAGAAGAAGGCCATAGAGTGTAATACAGAATTTCCGTATCGAATTATCTAAAAAGGATTAAGCTTTCAAAATACTACCAAAACCAAATTGACCTTAGGTCTGCCCTTCACGATTATGGAAAATCATCGGTTTACAAAGAAAGCATTTTTTTGAACTGTCGGAAAGTGTTTCGATAAGTGTGTGCATCAAAAGCAGCGTTTCAAAGTTCTTTTTCGTAGAAAATTTTAAAAGGCTAGAAATCGTATAAACTACTCGCATACTTCGTGATTGATGGTCACTTGTGATGACTGAAGTGTTTTCAAATTTATCTCGCTTATGTCTCGTGCAATAACGAAGAGTTCCCAAACATCACTCGCGTCTGCAAATCACGCAGTGTACTCGTGTTCAAGTAATTTACTCTACCAAAGAATAATATTCACTCGATTTTTTAACGACTTAACTAAGAGCACTGCAATCCCTCTCCCAATGTAAGCTAACACCAAATTATTACTTGGTAAACTCTCAGACTTAATCTGTATCAGTAATTTTTCCGGAGAGTTTATCCTCTTAAAAACACGTTATATTGTACTGTATTTAAGCTGGCGCCATCTCCGGAAATCGAAACTTATGTACAATACTCGGTTGATGGCGCTAAAATATGTCTAGTGGCACTCTGTAGGAATATGAGGACCTTGTAACATTCGCTGCCCAATTTCACTGCTCTGCCAATTAAAACTCTCCTCGCAGCATAGTCTTCTGCTCCTCCACGTCACGCAACACGCTCTCTCTGCGTGACATGGCCAAACAACATCCGTGAAGGAGTCTTTTCATAAGTTCCTTATACTATCCATGGACTAACTAATCGTCAGATTGATAAAATGCGATGCACCTACTCGGAACTTGTGACATCCAAACACGCTGCTCTGTTTAGAAGCTAAAAACAGCCTCTCTTGCTGTCAGATGGTATAAGAAAACTAAAATAATTATGAAAACTTTAAATATCACCCAGCTCTTCGACAGAGGGTTCCCCAATATCAAGAGTAATTTTTTTTTCTTGCTAATATTCAATAACAATCGTGAATGTGATTTTTAAAATCTTTTAGCGAAATTTTGTTTCTAAATTATGACAAGGAGAGCAAAGTTTTTTAGTTTTTTTTTTTTTTACCTGAGTGGTTTACTAAAAGAATAAATACTCTGTTTCATTGACGCCCACTTTGGTATGAAGAGGGATAGGTGACGTAATAGTCTAGAAAAGTTTGGTCTGCGAAGGAGTGGTACCGAGCGTCAAAAGCTCCTGATTAGGCCTAAACAATGGCTGGGTAAAAAATAAAGTTGCCCTACTTGGTCCAACAACTAATGCATATATCCTACATTAAAGCCTACTTAGCCGGGCTGTATGGTACAATGCGATGTTAATACTCAAAATGTAAAAATTGCTTCTTTTTACATATTAGAGTTTAAGAAGGCCTCAGAATAGTAAGGCCGGGCCAAGTTTAGATCTTTCAGCAATTAGAACGGCTCAGGATAATATATTTCCAAAAGAAAATGTTTCTGATGATATAATGGTATTTTTACACCGACATCCTCCAGCCTCGGGTGAAAGAAGCGAAGAATGGTTAGGTAGACCCGATTGTCCAGTTTGTGACATGCTTAACTTTCTTGCTATATTTCTACTTGTTCTCGCCCATTTTTTTGACAGATATTTATTACCATAATTATGCATCATCTGTGATTCTTAGCCTTCATTATTGGAACTTTTGCGATCTTTTGTCCCGCTTTAAAGTTCAGCTGGTATTATCTGAAAAGTGGAAGCCATAGTCACTAACGGTAATTCCTAGGTCATTGTTAGAACGTTTTTTGATTGAGTGCCGTAAACCAAAACCATGGTAATCACCACGGCCATTCAAAAGAGAGGAAAACATATTTAAGAAACAATAAGAACTCAAAGTAAACCGCCTAAACTGCCTAAAGCGCAGGAAAATGCGAGCGACCAAGCCGTAATTGGTTTTAGCTTTCCATCTCTGATTGTTTGAGAGAGTAACGCGAATTCTTTGGACCAATCGCAGAGGGAAATAAGCAAAAACAAAGCAATTGTGGATTAATTTCGACACTCAGTTGAAAATAGCTCTTAAGCACATATTTGGGCTAACCTTGGATGACTCATAATGCTCTTTTGTGCTTGGTATATCTTTGTTCAGCCGCTTTTTATAATTTCTTTGTCGACTTGTTTTGGTGAGGTGACTTAGAACACCATTGAATGAAGTTCTTTGCTACGTGGCACAGTCCTCAAGAGGTTAGACCTGGCTAAGTACCTTTGTTCTTTTGGGCTCGCGAAACCCTTTCACTGAGCGGTTTCTTCTTACGGTCAATCAATTTCGCATCACAGGGATAACAAGGTATTTAAAAAGTCAACAACAAAAAAAATTTTGGCAGCATATGGAATATTTAATTAGAAATCACTAATCTTCAAAGAACAATTTTTCGCCTGGAATTAGCATATGGAATACTTCAGTAAAAATCGTTCAACGACAAAAGAACACTTGCCCATTTTTTTTTTCTTTTTTTGCACTTTGAATAGTGTAATTTGTGTAAGAATTTAGATTACATTGACTATGACTAAACTAAGTTAAATAAACTACTGTCGGAACCAATAGTTGTCTGGCTTGGTGACGTCCACATCTTTCACGTTACTGTTTGACGGTAGGATCTGGGTACGAGATTACATCAAGCTATTACTACCCCACCCAACCCATTCATGCCCTAAAGTGGTAAGGGACCAGTCATTATTTATACGTGGGGGTGAAGGATTTTTGGAGGGGGATGGGGGATCACTCGGTTTTCAGGGAGAACGAAGAGAGATCAGTCGTCGCTAACAGAGGATTAAATGAAAAAGGATGGGATGAATGGGGTTCCTTAGAATTGTTGTTGTCGTTGTTGTTTCTTTATATGGCAACAGGCTCTGAAAGTTGTCCAGACTTTCGAGTCACGCCCCTGTTGTAAATGTCTGAAGAGCAAGCGCTTAAATTAGCTACAGAAGAGCCCACCCGTCATTGTGAGATGGAAAATCTTTCAATTGAAATGTGGGTTGGAATCTTCCAGCTTCTTCATGTTGATCAGGGGCAAAGGCAGGCCTCTGTAGAAATGTGGGGTGTGGTCCTTCATTGAGGTCTTGGGGTCTTGGGCATGCCGGGTTGTTTTGTAACAAAAATTGCCACCCTCTCTTTGCACCTCATATATATGATCCTCAGGACTTCACCCTTATCGACCCCCTCCCCTCCCCTCCCCAAAAAAATACTTCTCACCCCTTCCCCACTTTGGCTCTGCCCGTTAACCGCTGTGAAAACATCTTCCGCGGGTACAGGAAAAAGCGAGTACAGTATTTTATTGGCCCATTTCAGGGCGTCGTTAATGCAGTAAGGAAAGGAAACCTCTAGGAAAAGGGAAAATCTTGTGATTTAACTGTAACACGTCGAGAAGACTACAAATTAAGAGTTGGTTTGTCTGAGGACATAACAAGTTATGTTTCACACCCAAAAAAACTTAAAATATAGGGAAGAATTTCCCTATAGTATTCCTAGAGCGTGAAGCTCGTTCAACGACCTCTCAGTTTTCCATTTGTAACTCTATACTGGTTCCGACATCCTACTTGGATAACATCTTTGCCTGTTTTTTTACAAAATTTCAAAGTTCTAGTCTGGCTAGCCGACAAGCAGGCTCTCATAATAAGTACTGCGACAAGAGAGTTTCTTCGCCCAACAGAAAGTTTGGGTTTTAGAAAAGCAAGCCGGCAAGAGGTATGCTAGGACCTAGCAAACCTCTCCCCGACTCGTCTCAAATCTTCATACGGACGGAAAACGGGAGCCCTGCAGCGCTCATAGGGAGAGCCTGGCTATACTTTGGCCCTCACAGAGGTTGGAGATTAATTATTTAAGGAAGTCTAACTTAAGAACTTATCGACAGACTCTAGGATACAGTTAACTTACTCGCGATACAAATGGTTCACCACTGAGATGAAGAGCCACTCTAATGTAAAGTTCTACCAAGAACGACTAATTCTAATAAATACAATTGTTCCTATCGATCTTTATCTGTTAGGTATCGTCATTTATTTCATTGCTCCTGTTTGATGTCTGGAGCTTGAGAGGGTGTTTCCTTGCTCTCTTGTCCAGCTGACTCTTTTACTTCGTTGTTGGCAGGACTCTCCTCCTCTTTGAATTTCTCTCTAACTTCACCTCGCGCGGCTGCTTCTCTCTTCAATTCTATAAAGTAATTTGACACCATTTTAGCAGAAGGCCACTCAAAAGCTCCCCACCCCCTCCCCTCCCTCTCTTCCTCTCAATTATTATAACTATTAGGATAACTTATTTCAGGGCCTTTCAAAATTTTTTTTACAAAAATTATAGAGGCTCTATGTTCTTCAATGCACCCAAATCCCCATCAAAAGCAAGATTGAGTGTTACATGAAACAAGGCTTATGATAGGTATTTATGGTATGACACTATTCATGGATCTGATTGCTAAAATTCTCCCTTCTATATACTGTAAATTTCCTTGAAAATTGGTTAAGAGAACTCGATACCACATCAAGATTACACCCTGTAGCTGATAACTTTGTCTATCTGCATCACTTGTTTGGTGGAAATTGATCGATTGTTATTGTGATTAAGGAGAAGTAGCATATAAATCACTTCTGGGAGTTAAGGGGTCAAAAACAAGAGATTCATCAGTCAGAATCTCAAACCTGACAGTAAAAGCTTTGAAAGCAAAAACTTCATGTTACAAAATTTGGACTTACTTCTCATGTGACTTTTCATCTTCTCTAACATCTTTGATGGCACCTTAAAACCCTTGATTTCCTCCAGATTTAGACCTTCATTATTCCTGTCAGACAAAATTTTCAGTATAGGTTAGAGGATTCAGGTGGAATGGGAAGTGCTCCCCTTCTACAGAAACTGATGGATTACTGGGAGTCTATAAAACACTTTATCAACAATATTAGGTACCCTCTTCCCCCTTCCTTGTCCCAACCTCCTCATGGAAAATCAGGCTGACTTTTGATGTTTGCCAAATCATCCTTGTTTTACTTATTTTAGTACACTGGGAATGTGTTATGATAGCTACTGACCTGTAATCCTGATGATCAGCTAACTTTCTGATGTCATCTGCAATCATGAGAAATGCCTATAAACAGATGAACACAGTATAAGTTAGAGGAAAAATGCAAATATTTTAAAACTAAACAACCCTTTCACATGCTAAGCAGGGTTTTTTAGCTTTATACCTTGCCTCCAGTGATGGGCAGTTCATTCTGTTCAAACAGCCACAGTTTGTCATCAGAGTCACCCGAGTACTGTAGAGTAAAAGACAAAAACATGTTCTAGAATAGAATACAGTAACTGGTTCAAACTCAACTGTCATAATCAATTAAGTGATTTGACTGTCTGTGATAGGGTAGTTCTAGTTCAGTAACAGTGACACATATTTCCAAAACCAAAGTGAAAGCCATCATCAGATTTAATTCTGATCTTCTCCTCTCTGTTTGTGCAAACAGTCCTTCCCAGGCATCTCCCCACCTTATGTTTATACCACATGATCAACATCCAAAAATAGAGTTTATTCAATGTATAGTGTGCATGAATGAGTTTTATTCAAAAGTTGCAATGCTGCTCTTCATTAAAACTCTGCATAACCATGTGAAGAATGGAAAACTTTGAATGCATACTATCTGTCCCCCATGAGCATTTGTTTGTTGCTGTATAGTGAAAAAGAAATCTCAGAAATTCTTACAAGGAAGGTGGTCTAGATATGGATGGTTTGGCAAAAAATTATGCATTCTGATCTTTAAGGGAGTTAATTAACAATATTAAGGTGGACATGACAAATGATTTACCTTGAAAAGTTCTGGATGTCTGTAGTAGAGTTTTCCTCTTGTAGCAGCAAAACCAAGGGCTCTTAAGAAATAAAAAAAAACAGTTTAATAAACAAGAGAACACAACAACCTTGCAACATCTCATCTAAGTCTCCAAAAGAAAAATGTACTGAGAAATGAAAGCCATTGCTTAAATGTTATTTGATGCTCTCAAAAAAAAAATTGTGTCATTTTCAATGACATAATGTTAGGCATTTTTTTTTCAACAAAACTTACAACTGGTTGCAAAATAAATTCAAGCTTACTTGTTTGCTTTTACTCCCATAATGAATTCAGTTTCCTCAGTAATGCTGTCTGGATCCCACTTTAATAAAAAAAACAGTTCAAATATTAACTGTGTGGAAGAGATTTAAGGAGTTTTAACCCAAAGTAAGTTTGCCACCTACAAGTTTGCCCTCTCTTGGATGTGTTAACCCTACCAAATACAAAAGTTTATTGCTAGGCCTTTCTACGCTTTGAATTTTCATAACAACACAACATGTTTCTTCTCAGGCGAAACATGGACAAGAGTGGAAAAAAAGAACTGAGATTAGAGCAAAATACCAAGGAGACTGAAGAGAAAAAAAACTGAAGAGATACTGAGTTTTTTAAGTCAATGTGATATTGTGATGTGATGCTGACATTTTTTTTTGGTCTTATTTTTTCTTTCATTTGGGGGTAAACTCATTATAGATGGGGTGAACATTGCAGGGGTAGGTAAGGGGAGAAAACTGAATTTAGGCAAAACCACCTGACCAGTTACCCTCAAGAGGTTTTAACAAAAGTTACAAAATCATCAGGAGGCAGCTTGGCTGAGTGGTTAGGGTGCTGGACTTGTAATCTGGTGGTCCTGAGTTCAAGTCCTCCACCTTGCCATTCACTAGAATTGTTCTTGGTTGCCCCAAGTTCAACTCCTTGGCTGTGCAGTGTAAATAGCCAACTGGTCTGCCTACTGCCAGTTGGGATTTTCGAGCACTTAATGTTTGTCTGTATATTTAGTCATTGTATTTAGTGCTATTTGATAGTGAAAGAATAGCCCTATATAAATAAAGTATTAATTTAATTTAATCAGGATCCATCTAAAAACCAAGAAGGCTCCTCTATATCTCCGATCTGTGTACACCAGTACTGATCCTTTTTACATTAAATTTCAAATGCTTTGTATCCCAGCATCTTTCAAGTGCATAAGTCTTACAAGAAAGTGAATTTTTTTAATCTTCCCATTTGTTGAAAAACATATTAAATAAAACAACATGTATTGTTTACCTTACTGGTTATCGCTTTATTGTCCATCTTGTTTACTTTAGGAGGTGATCCTTCGCTAAAAAAAACAACAACATTACAGTCACAACATTCCTATTGCATCCAAGGGAACTCAGACAACATCAAACCAGAAGAAGCCTTAAGTATGTCAGCCCTTAATACCCTTAGAGTGATAAGAGTTTAATTTCTCTCAACAGAAGCACCCCTGAATCAAATATAAAGTTCAGGTGAATAAAGGAAATGATCACAAACTCAAGATGCTTGACATTGTTAAATGCATTCTCCTTGTCAGCACCTTAGGAAATGTATAGAGAACAGTATGGAGAATATGAATACTGATGTTAGGGTGTAAAGGGCCAATAAACAGTAAATGTCAAATCACTGTTTCCAATATATAGTCTAATTCTAGGTAGAAATATCTTTAATAATGGAAACTTTGAGCTGTTTTGGAATTAAGACTTATTATAGCCACAAATCAACTCAAGCTACAATGGATGGAAATCTCCCAACATTTTTTGCAGCATCATTATTTTATTTTTCATTACCTTTCTTTTTCTACATCAGGGCGTACCCTCTTCTGGAAAAACAAACAAAGAAATCAATAAATAAACATATTATTGTTAACAAAGGTCTACCAAATGGCTATATTCTCTTATTCTTTGTACCTGTTAGTTCCAGCTTTGTTTTAAAATGAACATGTACGCAGCATGGTTTAAAGTAAAACTAGCAATGATAAGTTATTCCCTTTTGCTTTTTTTCTTTTTTCATAATGTACCTTAGGCTTTGCATATCAGCTTACACATTAGCTAGAGGGGCTGGAGCTGGTCAGCCTTACCAGTTATAAGGCTGTTAAGAAAGCTGCTTGAATGAACTGCTATTAATTTAAAAGAGCTAATTAAGAGTATATAACAATTGCCATGTCTCCGAAAAGAGCATATTATTAACCTTTCCTTGCCAATCTCCCAAATCTCTTATCATCCCTATCACTTAATAGTTTATTCTATCCATTTCAATTTTTGATACATTTAGTCATTTCCCTGAAGTTAAGGTTGCTTTGCATGTCACAACAGACACCTACAGTAAATATACATTTTTATTTGACAGAGCTCCTTTCTAGCATTTACATCAACAGTATGTAAATGTAGTCACCATCATTACACCTGTGTCTAATAATTTAGAGTTTTGTAATATTCCACTGGGAAAAAATTAATAGGATACCTTCTTGACAATTGCAGGACTTCCCCCTCTCTCATATCTCTGTTGAAGAAAAAGTTAATCAACAAAGTTAACACTGGTTAACCATTTAACACCCAAGATCTTATGGTTAATTCTCCCCTCTGGTCACAAAACATCTCATAGTAAATTAGTTGTGGGAAGATAGAGTTGAATCAAGATAACAGCTTCTACCTGATTTGCTTGGATATTTTCATTTCCTGTTTGCTTTGGTAGATAATGTATGGATATTTTAGGTGACGTGTAATGTTAATCACCTCTGGGAGTTGTAGGATTAAAGATATAAGGATTGGGGACCATGTTCTAAAGGGGACTGTTCACATAAACAAAAACAGACGTTAACGCTTTAACTCCCAGAAGTGATTAACATAAAACTTCTCCCTACAATATCTATACATTCTTCAGCAAACAGGTAATGAGAATATTCAAACTTATCAGGTAGAAGCTGCTATCTTGATCTAGCACCAAGTTCTCATAACTAATTTACAAGGAAATGTGTAGCAGCTACAGGGGAGAATTAACAATCAGATCTTGGGAGTTAAAGGGTTAATGGTTATATCTCAACTCTACTGTTTTTTTGTTTGTTTGTTTGTTTTTTTTTTCCCAAAGTCTCCTGGATACAGAACAAATCTCTTCATATCCCATAAAGTTTGCTAAATCTCTTAGATATATAAAAAAATTATTTCCTTTGATAGGGGAAATCAAGGATAACTAAAAACTACTAGTATAGGTAAAAAAATGATCTCTAGTGCAATTTGGTGCTAAAAAGCACAAGTAAATTTTTCAAGACAACAAAATTGTACAAGCCTGCAGGGCAAGTGCAATCTGGAGTCTTTGAAAAATTTATATTTGTCAAGTGCTTATTACACCAAACTACACTTAAAATCATGTTGGTATTTAATCATAATTTACATGAAAAGGACATCACAGAAAGTCAAGACAGACAAAATTTTGGCACTACATTCATGCTATTTGTAATTTGGACTTGTGTTAACTTTGCACTTGTGTTACATGACAAATGCACTTGTTTTCAGCAAATCAGACACATAATTTTTCATGTATATTATTTCTATTATCATTATTATTATTACTAAAAATTTTCATCACCATAAGAATTAAATTTCAAGAACAGTTGCCTATTAATTTTTGTATCTTTGTTTTGGATGAAATGCATCCATATCAGTGACTTCAGTTTAAACATTCAACTGACAAATTGAGAGGAAAGGGGCCTGGAATCTGACCTAAAGTCAACCATCTCTTGATCACAGATCTCTTGAAGGTGGTGACATCAGTGAATTGTGTACTTACCCTGTCTGGGTGATGAGGCTTTGTGTCCACCCTGAACAGAAGTTTCGCCTGTGAATCAAACATTGACAACAAATAAGATTTATCAGTAACCTGGCATTTGACATATTTGACTCAGCATGTTAACCCTTTCACCCCCAAGATCTCCTTACCAATTCTTCCCACTGTCTTCTACACAATTCTTATGATGTTGGTTTGGAGAATTTAGTATTGGATAAACTGATAATGTTTTTGTTTTTTTCTTCTAATCTCTTAATTGTTATCTTACTTTATTTTCATCACTTGTCTGTTTGATTTTTTTTTTTTTTTGGACATTGTAAGGAGAAATTCTGTCTTGGTCACTCATAGGAGGGAAATCAATATTATTTCTCTCTCTAGTTCTATCACACCTCATCTAAGCTTCTTCTCAGGACAGCTTTTATCTGTTCTTCTGAGACTGATTCACTTGTGTTGTCTTTGATGTTACGTGCTGCCATACGGAACATCTGCAAAGGACCAGTACAACATACAAATGTAAGGAACAACACCAAACAAGATGTTTTGCTTTCCACCAAAGAATACACATTAAAGTGAGTTAAGAGGTTTGTTACATTTTGCAACAGTATCCTCTTGTACTATGCAAGACTGCTTTGAACTTCAAGAAGTCTACAAGATATCAGTATATTAGATATCCATACATCATTCAGTAAATGGTAATGAGAATACTCAAACTCATCAGGTAGGAGTTGTTATCTTGATCAAACACCAAATTCTGGTAACTAATATACATGGAAATGTGGAGCAGCTAGAGGGGAGAATTAACAATCAGATCAGAAAAGTACATATTAGGCAATGATAAACCAAGAATAAATAAATAGGCAGAAGACTGCAGAGTACTAATGGGAATGGGGAATTTGAAAAAGTAGGGCTTAATTTTCAACTAGCAAATGCTGTGAATAGGCTCCTTTAGAAAAAGTCAAATGGCCACTTAATGCTAACTTGAGAGTCTCAAGCCACAACATAATATCAAATACCTCTTGATAGCTCTTTAAAACTGTCTCAATTTCAGAATTTAATGAAGGCTGCAAAGCTGCTCGAACAAGTTCTAGAGCTTTATTGGCACTGACTGTGCTCCCTCTGTGAACAGAAAAAAATTTAAAAGGCTTTAGACACAAACAATAAGAATCCCACCGAAGTTTTGTTGTTTTTGGTTCAATGGGTAGCCTTTGGTCAATCATATGCTTCCAAAAGGACTTTTCCTCCATAATTATTATTTTGATAAGTAATTTCATCAGAAAATAAAAATTCTAAGGCACCATCTTTGAAAGGTGATTTAAAATGAATTTACTAATTTAAGTTACCTGGTACGATTATAAGAGGCAACAGAGGCATGCATTCGGCTTCTGAAATTAAAAAAAAAATACAATCCATGTGTAACATTCTCTAAAAATCAAATTATAAGTAAAACACTTAATATGATGAATTATCCCTAAAAACCTTTTCACAGTGTAAGTTTCCCTGTTCAGCTTTTAAAAAAAATCATTTTCCTTCTATCTGCCTGTGTTTAAGCCCTTAACTACCAGAAGTGATACATTATACAGCAAACAGGTAATAAGAATACCCAAACTTATCACATAGTTGTTATCTTGATCAAATGCCAAATTCTTGTAAATAATTATTAACGTCGCCTTAAAATATCTTTTTTTAAGCAGGAAGGCGATGAGAATGTTTAAAAGATATAAATATCAACTAAGGATACTGTTTGATTTAACATCAAATTCTTATTTGGGTAAGATTGCACAGTGTAAAGTGGATACTTGCTTGGAGTTTGTATTTAGGGATATAGGCTGCCTTAGATAATGTCCAGATCAGCAATAATCACTGGTTGGACTTTTGACAAGGGATTGCTTCCGTAATGCACAACAAGCACTTTTGAGGTTATGCACCTACAATAGTTCACCATTTTTGAGCTGCCTCCCTCGAAATTTCAGCTGGTAGTCTAATTTTTTGCTACAACCATAAATATATGAGCTTTCATACCAGGCTCACTTATTACACTTATTATCACTCCGACTAAAAGTTAACCTTTCTCAAGAAAATTTCCCATCAAGTTAACTTGGTTTGTTTCACATGCCTTACCTTCGTTTAGGAAAGTTTTTTGCTGTCATATTGAAGGGACTGGGTTCATTTTCCTGAGACTGGGACTTAAAAGAAGGTGTGTCAGCAAATATGTCAAACATAATTTGGATAAATGGTTGTATTAAAAAAAATAAAAACTGCATTTTTTGCTGAAAAGCCCTTGTTTAATACTTACCGGTACTGGTTTTCCCCTTTTGCTTTCTTTATGATCCTCCACGCTAGAATCCATGTCCTTAAAACAAAGCCTAAAACACCGTAAAAGGATGAAGGATGAATAACCACTAAGTTACCATAAGAGGCCTGTTATTCTAAATGCATTTGGAGTTAATCCCAGGATTAATAGTCAGGGTTGTAAGATCTGAACTGATCTGAGTAGCTGGTTGAATCGAACTACACTTGTGTCCCAAGAATGATGTGTTGCAAAGCAACAAGCTCTTCTACAGGGTTCTGCAGGCATGCTTCCCTCCCATAATTTGAAACTTTCTGAGAAATGATTTCCAGCACTCTAGGACATATCTGAGTAACTTTTTTTAAGCCAGTCATTAGCACTAGCATCAGTTTGTTCTTTTTTGTCTTTGATAAATATTCACCACAAAAAATGGTCTGAAGGACTGCAGGTTTTTGCTCTCTATTGATTTTCATTTCTTTCATAGAAATTTATTTATTAGGTCAAACATCTTGCAGGGTTTTATCTTTGTTAACCCTTTAACTACCACATCAAAGTTGTAATTCTCCTTACAGTTAACCATACAATTCTTATAATGTTAGTTTAAAGAATTTAATATTGGATCAACTAAATCCCCAAATTGATATTTTTCTTTATTCTCATTACTTATCTGGTTGATGTTGTATTGATATTGTAAGGAGAAATTCTGTCTTGGTCACTCATGGGAGTTAAAGGGTTAAGGGAAAAACATTATTAAAGGAAGTTGAACTTGTAAAAAGATCAGAAAATTAATGAACCCAAGTCAAAAATTCACCCTCACCCTAGCTTGGCTTAGATATGTTTTGAACAAGCCGCCAACCCTATATAGGAATGTAAACAATTCCAAAAGAAAACTGTCCAAATATTGATTTGATGGAATACATTTAAAATAATTTTGCAAATATACTTGTATTCAAAAGTTTAACCAATTTGACCTGCAGTATCTGCAAGTGTAGCCACATGCAATAAGCCACTGGTAGTCAAAATAAAGATTCGAAAAAAGGAAAATGTTTCGAAAATTTGCGCTTACCGGTAGTTATACAGCTCACAAGGATATAAATCTATATCAGGGGTTTATTTAATAGTTCACTGTATTTCAACAGCAGCTAAATGCTACCATGGAGAGAAATCTGTTTTGTTTAAATCACTCATCGATTTACTCTGCGCAAGGCATGCGATCTTACTTAGATGGGTACATGAGGAGGAAGTTTACCAAGCAGTCGATCAACTATTATCACCCGAAAGAAAGTAAATGGCTTTTAGATCAAATCCTTTAACGCACTTTCGTAAATCGTTGTCAATGTTGCTAAATCTAACCGGAAGAGACAGAACTCCCTTGAAATGTGGGAACAGTAAAAGCTGGTCTCTTTGGTCTACAAATCCCAAAAGATACCACTTCCTGAGGGGTTCTTCCGCTTTTAAATTTGTCACACGCTACAGCAAAAGTCATGGATCATAAATATATTAAATCAACAACAGCCCTTTAAGTAAAATGTATTTTAAAGACTAATAATTACTTTGCAATTGGATTGATACCATTCTTAAAAAAAAAAGCGCTGATCGCCTTGGAAATCCCTTGCGTAAATTTGTTCAGAACATCATTACAATGCATCGTGAATGTGAAGTAGTTGGAACGCAAGGTTCTTTGAATTTCTCCATGGATGTTGTTCTTCCATTTCGCGAAAATATCGAAAGAATAACATAGCGCATGAAAACAATAAAGGTGACGAAGGACGGTTCGCCGGAGAACCCTTGCTTTGCTTTGCATGTTTACTGGTCGATTGTCCTTCAAAAAATTTCACCCCCCAACTTCAAGTGGAAGTGGGACCACAACACACACTGACGTAAAACGGCCAAAGAAGGCAACCTACTTAAAGAAAAAGGAGTCAAAACAAAGGGATTAAAAACTTACTTTTGCTTTCTGAACTCTCTTCTGAAGCCGTAGCGTTCATCGGTATTCATTTCAACTTCTCTCACCGAATACGCTCCTGGTGGTTCCGCCATTGTTATTTCCTTTCTCCTAAATTACCCGTTTTAAGACCGGAGAACTGGTGACTGCCGGGGAAATTTCTATGACGTCAGTCCCGTCAAAGACAAAAGAAACGCGAATACATGATGAAGATAACATGGGGCGAAGTTGCAATGTTCTGCTACGGTGCTATTCATAAAAAAGCCGTCAATTTGCATATTCTCCATTTTGTTCAATATTCATTTCCTAAGATGCTGACTGCACTGGCAGAATTTCCAAGAGGTTCTTTAGTTGCTGATCATTTCCTTTATTCTTTTGACCATAAAGTTTGATTCAGGGGTGATATTGTAAGGAGAAATTAGATACCAGTCAAAGTGTTACAGAGGTGGCTTCAATTTGAAAAGCGCATTATTGGGATCAAAGAGGTAAAAATTTTTCTTTCCCTGCCAAAAAACTCAGGCAATGCAATATAGACCAGTTAAAAATGCACACAACACACTTAGCAGGTCAAATTATTTCAATGATTGTTCTTCTTTTCATTGTTTACTTTATCAACAACTCCATACATGAGAGCTGATGTACAGAGTACAGCAAGGAAAAGTTCCCCAAAGTCTTTTAGCATTGACTGATCATGTTACATATTTTTCATAACTGTTTAACGCTAACACTAGGATACAATTTCATCAAGAAACTCCCAAAAGCTTACAGAAACAAGGAAGCATCCAGATTCTAAGAAGAATTGTTGAAACAGGAAAGTTTTGTGGTCGTTCAAAACAAGAAGTATCTGAATTGAAAGAAGTTCTACCCCTTTAACACCTTGATAGTCACATCTTATACAAATCCTTCTAGATTCAAACTACTTTGAAATCACTTCCCTTTCTTTTTTTCTGTTATTTTTGTTTTGTTTTGTTTTTTTCTTTTGATTTCAATCAAAGTACTTTACCGGTTATAGTTTCTATATGTTTGCGATGTCAGAGTATTTCCTGACTCATGTCAGCTTCTACCAGGAAAGGTTTACTGCACCTTCAAATATTGATTCTGAAAACTCCAATTCAGTATTTTTCAAGCAAAATTGTGACTCTTTTCATGCAAACAATCAGGTCTGAAATAGGGTTGGGTTGCATTGCCAGTACTATGCATTGCACTCAATCTGAATTTTTCAAGAGGGTAGACCATTACAGTTTGGTCATGAATTTTTGCCATTGACAATACTCCTAGCAAACCACAAAATATCATTATGCTCTTCAGAAACAACACCTTGTATCAGATTCATAACTTTGAAAACATCCATCACTTCTTTACAACCATCTGTCTGAATGTGAAATTGATTCTTGGGCATATTGCCTTTTTCCGCACAGGAAGGGAATGAAACCAATACACATTGGTTGGGTGGTTCATCATAAGCAGACTGCCGTGAGACAGTTCAAACTTAACAGGATCAATCTTTCTTTGAGCTCCACTTCCTCTGGCATCTTTGTGACGGAACACAAAGTCTCTGGTTTGACCTAAAGACAGAGACGCAATGGAACTTTTGGGAACCAAATCAACCTCATCATCTCTGTGTTCACCCATGTGGTCTTGTCCATCCTTGTACCTGTTCACAAGAACAAAGTTAAACTGGTGTCCACCAGTTAGAGATGAAACAAGGTCAGCTATGCGCTTGAGAAAGGGAGCATTACTCCACGGCTGTGCCGCTACAGTTGAACCAGAGAATGTGTACGTTAGACCTGCGTCTCCATAAGCTGCTTGCTTTCTTGGAACATTGTGCCATTTTCCATGAACGAACACTTTACTGTCTTTGTTATACTTTATCACTTTCTCTGCCTCTTGAAAGAGCGTGTCAGCTTCAGTTTTAGAGAATAACTGCACATAATCAAGATTTAAATTTTCTGATGTTATATGTTTCCATTTAAGGTCTGTCCTTCTATTTCCTTCAAGAAAAGATAATTTAGAGCAAGAGGGTTGTTCGTTTGGATTGTCACAAGCTTTCACCTTCATTTCAGGCTCTCCCACAATTTCCTTCTCGCCCAGCTTGCGTTTTGCACATTTTGACTCTTTCTTAATGAAATAAGATTCAATCATATCAAAAATATAGCTACTTGGCGATCGTCTAGTTCTTGAAAATACTACACAGAAGTGTTCTAAACCTGAAGTCGTCAACAAGTTAAATAAGTGTCACGCAACAGTGATTACAACTTCGTGTGAGCTTGCACAAAACGTCCTACCTATTTGCGAATACGCGAAGAGACTGGGTGTAGAAAAGACCAATATGGCGGATGAATTGTCCGGTGATCGTTTTAAGGACGTTCTTTCGACCTCTCAGAGCAACTCGCCTTGTGGGTTTTGTTCTAAAGAAGTCTCCAAGTACACGTGTCCTCGTTGCCATGTCCGATACTGTTCCAGTGTGTGCTATAAAAGTGATAAACACTTACAGTGTTCGGAGCTTTTTTATAAAGATTGTGTCATGGAAGCAATGTGCGAACAACAGAGTAGTAGTGAAGACAAGCATAAAATGCTGGAATTGTTGCACAAACTAAAGAAGCAGGATGAAGAAGAAGGCTTTCAGGATGCTGTAGATTTGGAGGAACGATTGAAAAATGTAGATATAAACAATGACACAGAAGCCGTGTGGTCGGCGTTGACAGATAGTGAACAGAAAGAGTTTGAATCTGCCGTCAAAAGCGGAGAGATTTCTCATGTCATTGACGTTTGGATCCCGTGGTGGACTAAACAAGATGACAGAAATAACAGGTAACTTGCCTAGACGGACTTGACGAGTTTTTATGGCAAATGGGTATTATATCGGGGAATTACATAGGGTTTACATTAGAACTTCAAACCATGCGGATAGGCAGGACTTAAGAAGTGGGGAGACGTAGTTGAGTGTTTCTCCCTACACTTCTCTTGCACTCTAGCCAGTTCCTGCGTGCTTTAAAACAGAACAGAGCACAGTCAAGGCTTCTCTATATGTTAATTAGAATAGCATGAGGTCATGAGGTTGATTCTAATATTTCTGAGTAGCATTCCCATCATTATTAAGCTAAAGTCCTTCATACCCCTCTTTATCTGCATTACCCTGTGCTAACTGAACTATGTTTGACTCTTCTCTCCCGAGATCTCTCATTAGTAATTCTCCTTGCTGTCTGCCATAAAATTCTTATGATGTTAGTTTGGAGAATTTGGCATTGGATCAACTAAAAAAAACCCAGTGGAAATTTTTCTTTATTCTCCACACTTGTCTGCTTAATGTTGTATTGATATTGTAAGGAGAAATTCTGTCTTGGTCACTCATGGGAATTAAAGGGTGAAATTGAAGTTGCTTGGTTTATTAAGGTGGTTCTTCAAAAGTGCTCTGGTTTCCTCTATGTATTCCAGAAAATTATATATTAGACTCACTTGTACTTAATTGAGAAGGCACTTTCATAACAAGCACCTGTTTGTTTTTTATTTGATTCTTTTTAACTACTTTTTTTCTCTTGATATCTGTTGATAGAAAGAAGATAGAGGTTGTAAGTGAAGGGAGCAACATTTTAGGAAAGAAAGATGAACAAAAAAGCAAAAGCCATCAAATCCAAACTAAGGAACAAGAAAAAAAGGAAAAGATGCCAGCATTAAAAAGGAACATCACATCATTACTGTCAGCCATGAAAAATTCAAATGTGAATCCAAATGTGCGGTTCAGTTGTATAAATGTAATTTTCTCATATGCATATATCATGAGGCTGTACAATGGATGCCCAGAAGACAATTTAGAACAGGCAGCAGAGAATTTGTTACAGCTTTCACCTGTTCTTTCTAAAAATGCTGTGTTTGACAGTGTGGAGTCAGTAGTTCACAGCTCCTTGAGTGCTGTGCTAGATTGCAAGGACCTTTACTGTTCTGAGGAATCATCTCATCAGGTGCTTCTGGATGTTATTTCTTTGATCAAAGGATATGTTGTTATGGAGAGAAAGAAAACAAACTTTGTTGACAGTGCTCTGTCTCATTTGTGTCGACTTCTCAGTGGAGGAAGAGAGAGATTGAAAGTCAACTCCAAAATGAACCAAAAAGAAGCAGATTTATGTAAATCTTTGTGGCTTGCAAAAAAGAAAGTAGAGTTTTTATTAGCATGGGTTCACACAAACACTCATATTTTGCAATCTCTTGTGCTAAACATGGAAGTTGTTCTTACAGAGGTATCCATGTCTAACAGACAACACAGAGAACAAAGAGAAAAGCTAGAGCAAGTATGGGGAGGTTCAAAGCCACCAAAGAAAGCAACTCTTATCACAGAAATCTAAGTCAGAATTTGAAAAGAGAACTCTGAAGGACATTGTAGTATGATAGAACCAATCCCCAGTAGTTTCTGAGGCAAGCTTTCCTGCATCATATTGCTATCATACAGTGGAACCTTCGCTAACTTGACCTTTTAACTCCCAAGATCTGTTTTAAATTCTCCCCTCTATTTTTTTCTTAGATCAAGATAACCTCTTGTACCAGTTTGAGTTATTCTAATCACCCACCTATTTGTGTGATACTGTATTGATGTTTTAAGGGGAAATTCTGAGGTGGTCACTCATGGGAGTTTAAGGGTTAGCTTCTTGCTCGCCATAAGTGAAAGTAATTCTCTTGAAGAACATTTTAAAGTCATATGAAGGGAGAAGTAAATATTACATCAAAAGTCAAGTGGGGTTTTATTTCATGTTCCCCTTTATTTAAACTGTGCTTCATGTTTCATTAAGCTATGATGCTCACATGAAGTTTGAGAGCATGAGAAATGAGTAAGATTTCTTCTCTATGTGGAGACAAGTGCTCTACAAACTTCCCAAGTGTTTCAAGTGTTATTAACAGACAGCTGACACCTGTATCATCTGTTTCATACAGTGCCAGCAATTTAAATTTGGATAAGGCAAAATTCCCTCCTCTGCACTTTGATGCATACAGTGTACATACAGGGCAAGCACACTTTTGCAATTTGCTCTGATTTGATTGTATGATTTTACAAGCTATTTTAAAGTTGCTAAAGAATGAGAATACTTTCACTTCTAAAAGAATCTTTATTTTTAATCACAATTTTGTGTGAAAATACTTTTTACTACTATCATAATACACACGACAATGTGACTTCAGCCTTCACATTCCTTATTAATACTGACTTGAACTGATTCTCCTTGAAATGATAGAGCAGTCTTTATTAATTCATGTCCAACAGTGTAGCTTTTGCCACCCTCACAAAAATCTTGTGCAAGTTCTCTTAATGTTACAGCAATTCTTCTGGAAAGAATATCCTGTCTTTTTATTGCATGCTTCCATTCATAGCGAGCTGGTCCTCGAACAATGATCAAAGACCTCCTTGGCATTGGAACAGAAACCTCAATATTACTGGTATCTCCACTCACTGAAAATGTTAGTAAGCTGTCCGAGAGAAGGTTCACTGTGACTAGACGCTCACCCCACACCCAAAAGTCATCAAAATGTGGATCAATAGATGAACCTCTGTCTGGTGTATACTCTAAATTACAAAGTTCCACTGGTTGAAAATCAGACAAAAGTGGAACTGTCCTCCACATCCGTTCCACCAAAACTTTACTGAACTGTGGTAGTCCTGTAAAGTTATTTAGCTTTAATTTCCTTTTCTTAAAATTCACCTGAGGTCCAAAGTCCTGTGACAAATGAGAATACATGTTAAAAGGAAAAGGAAATAAATGTTTGGGTGGCAAATTTTATCTTCAGGAACAAACAAAGCCATCATATTACTAACAATAATATTATCCTCTGTCTCACATATTTGTCCATTTGGATGTACACCTCCACAGACACATCAGCTGTATCTGTCAAAAATCACGATCTCCATCAATAGTCACAAATTTAAGACAGTTAGGCTTCACAAACAGTCAGCAAACAACAGAGACACAGGCACCATGTTGGAGGTGAAATACAAGAACTTTAATTATAATCATGAGTTAAAACTTTGTTTTTCCAGAGAATCTTTCTTGTTAAAAAAAATAAAAATAACAGTTAAAACCAAACTCCCTCTATAATTTATGCTTTGGGTTGTTGGTGTTCTTCCGCGCTAAAAATTTGGCTTCACTCACATCCCTTCCCCACCCCCCCGATGCAACTGCACTTCAGTAACACCCCCACCCTCCCCCACAAGGTACTAATAACGCAGCCCTTGTCGGTGAAACCATTGAGTTCTACTCACCTGCTTTCGCCTTCCAGACTGTGATGGCTTCCAAACAGTTTTTTCAATATCTGCCACAATCGTCTCCTCTTCAATTTCATTTATAAAGTTCTGAATCACAGTAATGCCTTTCAATTTAACGTTTACGTCATCAATATCTTTGCGATGCAAACATTCTTGACCAACGAGAAACGTTTCTCCACAAAGAATACAAAATTCATACTTTTCTGTTGTCTTGCTGCGCTTGTCTGCGAACATATTGTTGGATTTCTTGTTTTCTTCACACAGTAAGCACTTCCGAATGCCAGTGCAGCCACAACCATCCGCCATTTTAGAATCTTTTCAAAGCAACATTTCTTTTATGAATTTTGATTGGTTTATTTTCTTAGTATCCAATTAAAAGTTTTGTTATATTAGACAAGTTGGAATATTGCGCATGACAGCTGTCTTCTCTACACACGTGTTTTACTGTTTACTTCGGACGCTTGTGATGGATGAAACTTGCCAAACAAATAGACTCTGGTGGTATTGCTGAGTTTTTTAAGCTAGGAAGATGTCAAGTACTCCACAACTCACGATAGAAGACATCAAAAAGCGTTCTGGACGGGAGAACTTGTCTGAAATCCGACAGCTCGAGTAAGTAATCTTTAGAAGATCTACAGGAAGCTGTTTAAAGATCGATCTAATGGTGATATATTAAAGTTCTTCTCTAGTTTAAGTGTGAAACTTCGCCTTCATTTCAGAGTGGGACAAAATAATTTGGACTGCTTTTAGACTTACTGAGATGTGATTTGTTGCTGTTAATTAGTGCTTTTTTCGTGCATGTATGTTTTTTTAATTTGTTTTTTAGGGGCTCATGATCGTGATAGAAGTGACTAGCTCCGCCTGCGTCAACATGTGACACATTAACACATGAATGACGCAGCATGCTCGTTATGTTTATATTTAGATTGTGGTCGTTTCAAGGAAAACGGTAGCTCTTTTTTATAATACTTCAGTCCTGCATGCATTATTGATATTGCAACTGGACTTGACAACTATTGAGTAATTTGCAACAACCACGTTGCCGCACATCTGATTTCCATTGTGAATGTTGTTCGAGAACATGTGATCAACTCCATGCGCGGGAAAGTCTTTTGAGTTAGTTGTCAGTTTAATTTGTGCATATTCTGCTTATGGCAATTTCATTTTGATCCTCTGTTTGTCATTATTCAGAGAGAGTTGTATGGCTTTCATACATTACCTTAACTCAAGCGATAAAGTTTTCTGAATTTAAGTTCTAAGAAAAGTTTGTAGACTGTAAGGAGAATTGATTTTGAAGTATAGATTATGAATGGTTTAAGATGAGATTCGGAGCCCTGGAAAATTCAATCTCAGTCTTGCAAAAGTTCTTGAAATTTGTCTCTGAAAAAGGGTGGGAACCCTGGGGTAAAAGCATTGTCATAAGGTTTAATTGTGGTGTTTGTGTTATTGTTGTGATACAGTAGTTTGTGTATAAAACACCAAATTGACATGAGATTCTGAATCCATGGAGTTGCAGTTGTTTATTTAGGAGAGGATAATCTGATCACATGTGCTTTTAATTCTCCTATGATGACTTCCACACAGTTAATTGAAATATTAGTCAATTTTTCAAAGAACATTCCCTTTTCAGTACCATTACCAGGAAGAGGACACCTTACTGTTCCTAGACTAGAAATTGGTCTGTAGAAACATTGTGTTGTCAACAGAAGTATTACTTGTTAATTCATTAACTTTGTTCAATTTCCAATTTTAGTTTATCTGGTCTTGGTTTGACTTGCATCCCAAATGAGCTGCTTCAACAGTTACCAAATCTTGCAGAGCTCAATCTGTCAAAAAACAAACTATCAGATGTTAACAGTGAAAAAGCTTTTCCAAAACTCAAAGTTTTAAGTGCGGCCAGCAACCAGCTTAGTAATGTGGATGGACTGACAGCATTTCCTAACCTGATTAGTTTGGATGTCACTAGCAATCCAACCCTTGAGGTAACAAATTTCATGTTGCATGTTAACTATGAAGAATGGTTTTTATTTTCAACATTGCCACAAGTCTTCCATTCATGTATAATTGAGAAATAGTAAGATTATCCTGATAGATTGTATCCTGGTTTATGGTCTCCCCAAAATTTTGTAAAGTGTTAATATCGCTGTGTACGGTGAACTACAGATTTCACTGAAATTGTGTAATGTATAGCAAAATATGTATGGTTTGGATTTTTCCTCTGTCTTAACCCTTTAAATCCCAGAAGTGATTAACTTGTAACTTCTCCCTAAAATATCCATGCATTATCCAGCCAATGAAAATACTCATGCTTATCAGGGAGAAGTTTTTATCTTGAACTAACACCAAATTCTCATAACTTATTTACAAGTAATTGTGTGCCAGTTATAGGGGAGAATTGAAAATCATACTCATGGGAGGTAAAGGGTTTTATTTCTCCAACCTTTTTGGTTTTGCTCTGTCTTTGACCTAGATAAAGTAATCTGCGATGAAGAAAAGCAAAACTTAATTTGGTTGAAATGCTCTAAGTTTGAGAGCGAATTGATTAAAAAAAAAAATTTTTCAATTGTGTTGATCTCTTTCCCTTCAGGTCTCAGACAAATACAAACTGGTGTCTCTCTGCCCTTTGTTAAAAACTCTGGATGGGAAAGTTAGTATTTGAATTCTGAATAAGTGTATATCTTAATGCTTGTCACACCAACTGTCTTTGAAAGAGGAAGTTATGTCAGTGATTAATGTGAAGTCTGATGAAATGCTGGGGGTGAACTTGTGATGGACTCACATACTTTCCAGTAGGAATAATCCCAGTCACTTCATGCCTAAGAAACCAGGATAAACTCCGGCTGGCCGGACCACTTGGCTAGAGTGCAAACTTTACATTTTTATTGGGTGTGGGAATTTTGACTGTGGAGATAAAGGTCCAGGTTCAAGCCAGATTGTGTGACAGTGTTGTATTCTTTGGTGAGACACTTGAATTCTCAGTACTTCTACTTCTCCAGGGGTATGGATGGGTACTAGCAAACTGTGCCCTCGGCAAAATTGTTGTAAGGTTACCTATGTTTGTTTAGCATTCAGTCTAGTATGAAAAACAATTATTGTCCTAGTAACTTCATGCTGTGGAAGTCTGGACAAGCTATTTTCTCACCATGATGGTTAATTTTATTTTTCAATGCTCTGAGATATTCATGTAGCAGGTGCAATAATTTATGCTATGTTATGAGCCTTTTTTTTTATTATTTTTGTTTTGTAATCAAGGGATTTAATAGTTTTTTGCTATCTGAAAGTGCAAATTTTTTATTATATATCTACAAGTGTGTGTATTTTAAATCATTTTCTTTTGTTTTTGTTTACAGGATATCAGTCTGATGAGGGATGCGGTAAATAGATTGGATTCTACTATGACACAAAAGGTTGGCAAAAAATACCATTTAATGACTAATTCATGGGAGCAATGACCACAGAGGAATTAGTTAGGTTTTGAAATTAAACAGAACACATTATTCTATACTATATATAAAAAAATGCCAAGATCCTGATGGTCCTGTCCCCAGCAGGATAAATTTCAAATTATCTGTAGTGTTCCTTCTACACATTGTCTTTGGAATATGGATTGAACATTTTTGGTCCTGTCAGTCAGATAATTTGAATCCTATCCTAATCCTTTTTTACCTGCAATGTACAGCTCATTTTTTTTGCTTTTTCTTTTGTTTTAATTGTCTTTGTAGATAGCTGACATTTGGAGTGAGAAATTCAACACTAAGTACAATCAGTTAGATGAAGATAAAAGAACTGAACTTGAAAATGAGTTTATTGAAAAGCTCAAGGTAAATATTTATTTTTTATTACTGCAGTGGATTTTGCATTAACCCTTTACACTTTGGCATCAGTGTACATATATTGTAATTCTTGTTCTGTTCTTCATACACTTCATTTGGTACTGACAACGAGAATGTGTCAAACAATTGTTTTGTTTTAGTTGATGATCATTTCATTTATTCTTATGACTTCAATGTTTGATTCAGTAGGGATTCTGTAAGGAGAAATTAGAGGCCAGTCAGGGTTAATCCACTGTCTTGTGACTACTTCATCTTAGTCTCTTTTCACAAATTGAACGTGCTTAGACAGACATAATCAAAAATGGCACTGTAGATGAAATTTGCTTGAATCCTTTTCTTTGGTAGAAAAAAAAATTATCTAGTTTACCATTATCCAGAACTGCACAGGAGAGTGGTAGATTTGATCTGTATCTGGGAGAGTGGACACACATGATACACACTGCTGTACACCATTCTCAAGACATATTCAAGTCCATTCTGTGTCATTTTGTCTTTCTATCTTTGTATGTCTTTCTTTCCATTTTTATTTTTTTTTCCATCCTCATAATTTATTTTTAACCTTATTTAAGGAAAGAAAATGTGAAAAAAGGTGACCTACCGAAAAACGTGTTTAAAACATTAATATGTATAATTATTCTTTCATGCCTCTGCACAGTCACATGTGCGTTGGTATTTTGAATTACGGTCAACTCGCTGACGGACCAACTCGCCGACGCCAACTCGCCGACGTATAAAATCGAGTAGAGACGTCGGCGAGTTGGTCGTCAATCCAATACAACTTATTAGAAGTTAAACATACAGAAAAGTAAACGATATTTAGTAAAAAAACATTGGTGAACATCTAACAGAAGCTTAAACATTGGTGAACATTGGTGAACATCACCAATGACTATAACAGCTTAAGACGCGAACGAGTTATTGTGCGACAACAACACCGTAAAGACTCATCATGTCAATCACTCATATTTTTTAACGAAAACTTGGTTTTCTAGACGAGATCTTTAGTAAAAAGCATTTCTTTTTATTTGCAACAAAGTTTATAAGGATCTTAAGGCGAATAAAGCGAAGTAAACATCACCAATGACTCACACAACTCATTGGCGTCTACGGCCAATTTTGTTCATTGGGGACGTTACTTTATTCGCCTTGAGATCCTTATAAACTTTGTTGCAAATAAAAAGAATTGCTTTTTACTAAAGATCTCATCTAGAAAGCCAAGTTTTCTTAAAAAATCTGACCGATTGTCACGATGAGTCTTTACAGTGTTGTTGTCACACAATAATTATCTCGTTCACGTTTGAAGCTGTCAGAGTCATTGTGATGTTTACTTTACTTTATTCGCCTTGAGATCCTTATAAACTTTGTTGCAAATAAAAAGAAATGCTTTTTACTAAAGATCTTGTCTAGAAAGCCAAGTTTTCTTAAAAAATCTGACCGATTGTCATGATGAGTCTTTACAGTGTTGTTGTCGCACAATAACTCGTTCGCGTTGGAAGCTGTTTGAGTCATTGGTGATGTTTACTTCTCTTTTTTCGCCTTGAGATCCTTATAAACTTTGTTGCAAATAAAAAGAAATGCTTTTTACTAAAGATCTTGTCTAGAAAGCCAAGTTTTCGTTAAAAAAATATGAGCAATTGACATGATGAGTCTTTACGGTGTTGTTGTCGCACAATAACTCGTTCGCGTCTTAAGCTGTTATAGTCATTGGTGATGTTCACCAATGTTCACCAATGTTTACCAATGTTTAAGCTTCTGTTAGATGTTCACCAATGTTCACCAGTGTTTTTTTACTAAATATCGTTTACTTTTCTGTATGTTTAACTTCTAATAAGTTGCATTGGATTGACGACCAACTTGCCGACATCTCTACTCGATTTTATACGTCGGCAAGTTGGTGTCGGCAAGTTGGTCCGTTGGCAAGTTGACTGGTTACCGGTATTTTAACCCTTGTTCATATGTCCTTTGTCCACCATGTATGAATTAACCCTTTAACTCCCAGAAGTGATTAACATAAAACTTCTCCCTACAATATCCATACATTATTCAGCAAACAGGTGATGAGAATATTCAAACTTATCAGGTAAAAGCTGTTATCTTGATCTAGCACCAAGTTCTCATAACTAATTTACAAGGAAATGTGTTGCAGCTACAGGGGAGAATTAACAATCAGATCTTGGGAGTTAAAGTGTTAAATTTCTAATTTGTTCACTTGTGAATCACTTTCAGTCTGAAGTTACTTGTGGCCCTGCAATGCTGAAGAACTACAGGGAATACAAGGTAGTTATTGCTAATTAACCTAGATTGATGATTCTTTTGTCAAAGAATGATGATGTAGATGTACAATTTTAAGGATGTTTACTAAAAAAAAGTTATTTAAACAGCTCACAGTTTTAGGAAAGCTCTATTTCAAGAAAATTAAGGGTGAGGAAAAGATCAGTGAAGAACCACCTAATAAAAAACAGAAAACCAGTCAAGGTATGATAAATACACATATATGAATGCATTATGTTATATTGTACAGGTTCCTATTCCTTGCAAAACACTCAAAGAGGTAGAGTGCTGAAATCATCGCCAAATTCCCTTCTGATATTTGTTAATCAAAAGCTCTTTAAACACTGGATGCAAATATGGCGGAATACCTGGTGGGCCCTGGTTGAGTCACACAAAAGTGAGGCCAATAAAAATGGGTGACAGTACCTTTGAAAAAAAATCTTAATTTTTGGTGTTTTGTCCAACTAGTTACCTTTACTAGTAAATTTAATCCTTCAACCTCTAAGAGTGATCAGCATCTAATTTCTCCTTAGAATATCACCCCTGAACCAGACATTAAGCTCACAAGAATAAAGAAAATGATCAGCAACTAAAGAAGTTCTTGATCTTTAGATAAATTCTCCTTGTCAGCACCTTAGGAAAAATATGGAGAAGAGTATGGAGAAGATATACAAACTGATGTTATGGTGTAAAGGGTCAACACTTTTCATGCCAAAGTCGTGTTTTGTAAAGAAATCCCTTCAATATCGTTACCTTGTGCAAAAATAAAGTGATATGCATAAACAAACTTAGCAAAGCAGAAAATGGGTTTTTGGGAAATTGTGGGACTTGTTTTGGACTGTTCTTAGAGTATTTTGGTAACTTTAATCTGGAATTGCCATATTCTCCAAACCTGCAAGATGCTGTTTGGTATCTTAAGTTATCTTTCAAGTCCTCCAGTGTTTTCCAAGCTGTTTCCACTCTCCAATTCTTTCAAAAACAGACTGAAATTAAAAAAAATATCTGATTGAATTTCCATTAACAAATTCTAGCTTGTTAGTTATATCTGTCATTTGCTCCAAATGTAATGTACAGAGTGATGGTTTTGGCATGACATTGGTAATGAGGGGTAATGAAGTATTGTGGTATTTAGTGATTTTCTTAGCAATATTGCAGAATTTGCCAAATTTTTTGCAGTATTTTGGTGTTCAGAACCCCCAATGTCCCCTTCCATATCATATAGAGGGTGTTGTCATCAAGAAACAAAATCTTTTAGATTAAATGTATGGAAAGTAGCAAGAAGAAAGAACTGCAAATCAGATCTGGGAGATGAGGAATTAAAGATTTTACCTTGTCTCATATTTTAGTTAACGGTCAAGCTGAAGTTGCAAATGATGCACGAGACAAACCAAAGAAATCAAAAACAGCAGAAGGGAAAGTGACTAAAAAGAAACGAAGAACACAAGGGAGAGAAATCAAGGTTATTAATTTTACTATTATTTTGATTTGAATCTGTCACCACTGACAAATGTTAGCTCCTTATAAAGTTAGGGGAAGTTAGCTTCAAAGCGAGAAGGCTCATCTTAATAATGAGAATTATAATGTTAACCAGCTGAGGAGCTCTCTGTGTTAATTAAGTGAGTCACTATCATGAAATCTTATCAAACCCTTAATTAAAGTTATTACAGTGACTGGTTTATTTCCTTATTCTACAGGCTGAGAACAGCAGTCCTGCTTATTGTCAGTTTGCTGTGTCTCATTTACTTCAAACACATTCACTAAACAATGATCCCACAGACAGAAAGACTCAAGTATGGGGTTGTGAATTTGAACCAGATCCTGAGAGAGAAGGTAAGGAGTGCATGTTTTTTTCTAGATCTGATTGTTAATTCTCCCTTCTAGCTGCTACACATCCTTGTAAATTAGTAGCAAGAATTTGGTGTTAGATCAAGATAACAACTTTCACCTGATACATTTGAGTATTCTCATTACCTGGTTGCTGGATAGTGGATGGATATTGTGGGAAGAAGTTACATTTGAATCAGTTCTGGGAGTTTAAGGGTCAGAATGACTTCTTCTTTATGGGTTAATCGTTCAACAAGTTCTTTCCTTGTGCTGTTAGGTCACACAACCACAACTTGTGCCACATGTGGAGGAGATTCTGTTTGCTTTGTGGACTGCAGCACTGGACGCGTCATGAAAAAATACAAACAACCTGGAGAAACATTTTACTGCGTAGCATGGACTACAGTTTATTTAGACTATGATTCAGAAAAGAAACGAAAAGGCAACCTTATTGCTGCAGGAGGTTTACAAAATGACATTAAAATAATAGAACCTAATCAGCTAGTATGCTTTGAAGAAATTCAGGGACACAAAGGAGTTCTAGAGTGTCTTGTTTTTCACCCTCATCATCCCACGTGGTTGCTAAGTGCTGCTGACGATAACACTATTATGGTGTGGGAAATAGGTCTGCCTAAAGCAGCTGAGTACCAGGGAAAATCACAGTAAGTGCCTTCTTTTTATCAATGTATAACTAATGAACAAATGAATTCCATGGTGCTTTGTGTCGGTTTAGTAATAGGTTACTATGGTGACCCATAGGAACAAAACACTTCCCAGATTGATTTCTTCCTCTTTTTAATTCAAGCTTGTGGTTTATTAAATATTTTAGATGTCTTAAGGCCTATTTACACGGCACGACTTTGTCGCATTTATAAAATATTTTGTAGGTTTGATTTACACGATGTCTTGGGGTCCATGTGAAAATAGGCCCTCCATGGAACATCAAAACTGACGCATTTCAATGTCCTCTGCTCCTATAAGCAACTACACACTCTTCAACTGAATTGAATGTTTCTGCACAAACACAGACTGGTAATCCCATGCTATAAACTACAATTCTAAGCAGTAATAATAGTATCCCAAACAAAAACTTCTTAGTAATGTTCAGTGATTAGTGAGCACACAGCAATTGTAGTTATTGACCAGCTATTTAATCTGGGAAGTGTTTTAAAATCTTGGAAGTGTTTTGGAATCCAGGAGGTGATTTTACAACCTGGGAGGTGTCTTGAAATCTGGGAAGTGTAACATTATTATCAGGGAGAGATTGTATTTTATTCAACATCAGATTCCTAGAACTAACATTTTGAGAGTTATGGCTGACAGTTAGAAGAATTTGATCTCAGATCCTTGTAGTAGAAGGGTTAATTCCAATTTACAAAAATTTGTGACACCTTTAACCCTTTACACTCTATTAACAATCAACATCTTTAGTTGTTGATCATGTCCTTTATTCTCATGACATTAATGTTTCATTCAGGGGTGGTAATGTAAGGAGAAATAGGATGTTAGGCACTCTTAGGGGTTAAAGGGTTACCTCACTAAGGGTAATTCTAGTTTAATAATATATGTATTTTTATTTTTGTGCAGACTCCTGCTGACATTGAAATCTCGTTCAATAGTGCGATTATTTTCAATTCCTCCACATGGCAAAGTAGTTGTTGGAGGATGTGACGATGGCTGTTATGTCTGGAATCTATTTGATAGTGAAACTGATAAAGGAGATAAAAAGGATAAAACAAAGTAAGACTTTTTTTTTTCCTAAAATGTATTTTCTTTTTTTATGTGATGATTTTTTGTAGATTTTCAGCCAAGCTCTTCTTTCTAAATTAAAGGGGGTATGCCTTGTTGTTGTTGTTGTTGATATTTTTTTGCTGTTTTAAAAAGCAGCCTGTCTTATTCTTCTGATGATTTAAAGGCTTACAAGTCTCTGAGGCTTATCTCTTTCAATGGATCCAAATGATGATATCAGAAGGATGTTTGATAATTTTTGTGTTTTGTTCATAAAAGAAAAAATACAGCAGCCAGAGAAATTTATAACACTCAGTCATTCTTCTCTACTTATTTGGCAGCCACTGACTTAAACCCTAGATATCCCAATGTTTAAAACTTTTATATTTCTTTTATTTATTTTTTATTTTGCAAGAGCATAATAGTGACTGTGTTGGTCTTGAAAATAGCAGAAGTGCAAGCCTCTCAAAATGTCTACCTCTGTTTTTGTAGGACATATTTTGGAAAGTTAGATTTTCCTGGTAAAAAGACAATTCCTTTAGACAGTATTGTGTGCTTGTCAAACAATATGATCGGTAAGTTTGACTCACTTTTTCTTTGAGTGGAAGGGTAGGATGGATCCAGTAGATGGAATAATTTATTTGTTGTGGAGTTCATACTTGTATTACTGGAAGGTGTGTGGGGTTAAATTGTGGGCTCTGTTTATTGTAAAACAACATTATCATTAGTCATAGAAGCCAATATGGAAGATATACATGAAATTAAATGATTAGATAGTTAGGATTTAGAATTTTTGTAGAAGTAGTGCTAGCCTCCTGATGTCTTTCTTGTTTTTCTTCAGCTACTAAACGAGTTGAAGAAGGTTGCATTCATATTTGGCACTCAGAGTCAGAAATGATGAAGGTATGTTGAGTTTGAATTATTATTTATTCTTCTCTGTCTTTTGCAAGTTTTCTAAAAGGTCTATGACAGGCTTCTTCATCCTAGCCTTTTCCATCTGTTCATGTAGTATATGAGGTGTAATACAGTCATACCTATAATAAGCTGATTTTTGTCAACTATTCATCCTACATTAAGCAGTAAACTATTACATTGCCACAACATACACCCCATGTGTTCTGTAAATTAGACTCAATTACAGATTCACTTCTTTGATGGAGGGTCCCCTATACTTGTAAGGTAAAGCGCGATTGGGCAATTTCTTTTCTTGTGAATCGTGATTTGATTTTTCTTTTGATAAGATGATAAGATCTTTTCATGTCCATCTGAACAATTTTTTTCTTATTTGAACATGACCCATAGATGAAGAGCTGAATTAAAAGATACTCGTGATTCAGTTAGTTTTGCATGATGAATTTTTAGCATTTTTTTTAGTATTAGTATTATGCTCAGGTGGCTGTGGTTAAGTTTTGACCAAGGTTTTGACAGGACATGGACTTCATTTGGATTGACAAAAGTCATAAAACAGACCAGTAATGGTTCTTGAACATTTAAGATTATACATTAAGATAAGACTGGTCAAGTCTAAAAAAAGTTAAAATTTGCAAATTTTGTGGAATTTCCTGTGGTTTTTCATTTTTATGTGAAACATGATCATCATGAATTTTGTATGAATGTGAAGTAATTTTGAAATTATTGGTGATAAATGAAAAGGCTAAATATTTTTAGGAGACTGAGGTTTACAAATGGTTATTCCAAAGACCCTCTTCAAGTGGACATAGTCTTCCCACAGACTTTCTATAGGGCTGATGTTTTTGTAATCCATGCCTATAAAACAGTCACTGTGCTAAATAACAGCTAAGCAAGACCACCAGAAGGGGTATCAAAACATAAGTCTTGTTGATCTGAGCGAAGTCAATGATTTGCTTTGTCGGATTGTTTTGCAGAATGACTTCAGAGTGGCTCACAAGCTGCCATGGAGACTCACTGAAGTACCTTTCTTGAAATTCAGCTTCGTACCAGGTTTGTCAATCTTGCATCAATCCTTCCACTGCCAGGAGTGACCAACAAGCAATTTTTCCCCACAAATTTAATCCATTATTGAGCAGAAAGGGCATGATAATTAAATAGGATCATCAACTAGGGGATATCTTTTGGTTTTACGACAAATTCTTAAAACTGAGGAGATAAAAATTGCATGATGGACAGCAAGGAGAATCATTACTGCCAGCTTGAAAGTGAAAGGCTTAGTTAACCCCTGAGAGTGACCAGTATCTAAGTTCTCCTAACAATATCATCCCTGAATCACACATTTAGGTCACAAGAATAAGGGAAATAATCACCAACTAATGAAGAACTTGATTGTTAAACAAATTCTCCTTGTCAGCACCTTAGGAAACGTCTAGAAAACAGTATGGAGAATATGTATACTGATATTAGTGTGTAAAAGGTTAAGAATCGCAAGTTGTGGTAAAATAAGACATGCTTTCTTTTGATTGACCTCTGGGTGTGATCTGCATTTAGTGAACAGTTAGGAATATATAACAAACACAATTTCAACAGACTGGAATAAAATTGTTTCAACTTGTCAGTTTTTGCATAACCATTTTTTTAAACAATATCTGTTCCAGCATGCTCAGTGATGTTGGCCGGAGATGATGTAGGATCTGTTTGGTTGTATGATGTTGCATCAAATGTGTTGGCGACAAAGAGTGAAGATGTAAAACAAACACAGGTAAGGAGTATTGCATGATTTCTATGTAGCATTTCAAGATACCCTTTTCTATAACAGTTACCTGTTATATAGGGAAACAATAAATTGGAATCCACTCTGCTGAGGGTTTTTTTTTTTACTTTTACATAATAAGTATAAAGTGCAGCTCAGAGGTGAACACCCAAAAATGCTAGCAAAAATTGCACATTTTGATTGGTTCCTAGTTGTGATCTATTAGAGGGCAGACACATAGATGACATCACCATTAACCCTTTAACTCCCATGAGTGACCAAGACAGAATTTCTCCTTACAATATCAATATGATATCAAGCAGACAAGTTATGAGAATAGAGAAAAATATCAGTTAGGGGATAATAAGTTGATCCAATACTAAATTCTCCATACTAACATCACAAGAACCTTATGGCAAACAATAATGAGAATTACTAATGAGATCTTGGGAGTTTAAGGGTGAACAGCAGTTCATTTCTCTATTGTATGAATCAAATAGATTTAATGCCGTATGTCTATTCAGTAATAGATCACAGGTAGGGTCAGATTGTGGTAAGAACAAGAAAGAGGCACAAAAGGCCCAGACAAGTGTGTTGCTGATGTAGAAAAATGGTGAATTTTGACCTTTCCTTGTTTGGTTTATTTTTTTTTAGGTTCTGGCCTGTCCAAATGAGACAACAAAAGTGTTTAACCAAGTCAGTGCAAGTAGTAATTTGGATTACATTGTGGCTGTTGCAGACACTAATGTTGTGTGCATTTGGAAACGACTCAGAATTGAAGATGGTAGTTCTCATTTATGACATCCTGCTTAATACAGTTCAAGAAATCATTTTATTTATACATGAAGATAGTTTACTTAGCAATATTAAGAAAGACATTGATGTTATTAGCCTTTTATCATCCCAGAGCTGCATCATTTAAATCAGACGCCAAAGGGGAACAGTGATTCTTTAGTGTACAATTACTGTAGAGTTGTGCTGGACTCTGGTCACATGGCACATAATAAGATGAGCCTCAGTAAGTAGGGAATTAGTATGAGCTTCAATGGGTGATTTGTAATTCTCTCCACTATGTTATGTTTTCTGTAAATGAGTTGAGAGAATTTGGTGCTATAGAGCAGTTTTTAACAGAGTGTTACTAAACCAAAACCAAAATAATCACATTGACCAATATGAAAATACCTATGACCCTTTAACTCCCAGATCAAATTTGTACCTCTCCTTACTGACAACCATACGATTTTCATAATGTTAGCACAGAGAATTTAGTATTGGATGAACCAATTATTCCCAAATTGATATTATTCTTTATTCTCATCACTTATCTGGTTGAAATCGTATTGATATTGTAAGGAGAAATTCTGTCTTGGTCACTCAAAGGAGTTAAAGGGTTAAGAGCCAATGAGAACTCAAAGGAAGAACAAACAAACTGCCTAAAGTACCGGAAAAAAATGAGTAACTATGAGTTGATTGGTTTTAGTTTTGCATCTGATTGGTTGAGAGAATGGCGTGAGTTTTCTGGACCAATGAGAATGAAGTAGAACAAAAACAAAGGAATCATGGATTACTCTTGACACTCCATTGAAAATTTCTCTATCTAGATAACACATTTTAGTTTCCTATTTCCACAATCTAATTGTTACAAAACATATTGATATTGTATTTCCTATGCAAGTTGAGTTTTTTTTTTGTTTTTGTTTTCTCTTTTTCTCTCCTCTTTTTTGGGTCAACTATTATATGATTATATTGCGGCATTTTCATTAGTTAGGTAAAGCATCAGTGCTTGAAATTTCCCAGGAATAAGAACTTTCCATCATGAATCCAGTGGAAATTAAGTGTGCAGATGTTTGCTGTTTATAGTAAACATAATAGTTGGGCTTCTTCTTAAATGGAAACCCTACAAATGGTATTGGAATTTCCATGCATCCTTGTTACATGTTGTTTTTTTTTTCTTTGTTCTTTTGGTTTCAATCAAACTACAGTAATAGTAAAGCTTTGCAAGTGACAAGTATTAAGGCATGGCGCTACATAAATTAAGTTTGAAACCAGTTTTTGTTGTGTTTATGTAAGCAATGAAAATTTACAAAGTTTATTTCACTGCTGAATACAACTTCTAAAGCCAGGGATTGGAAAGGGGTATCTACTCTCGTGTGGTGAGACATAGCATTTTCTTTTTTTATATATTGCTCATCTGAAACTTTCATCTCAACTGTTTCAATTAAACAATCTCAGTACATTTTACTTGACTTTGTTACAAGGTAGCATCATCCCTAATAAATAGTACTTTACAAAAGCATGGACATGCTGAGAACTGTTTAAGAAGCAAAATAGGATTTTATTGGGGAAAGCTCCTGTTGAGAATTTAACTGTTGGAAGTATTATGATTAGAGCAATTTTCGGTTGAGCATCAAAAGTAATCAAGGATTTAAGATTGCTCCAGATTTTCTGGACCTCAATGCGGTTTGCTTCCTTATTTTGAATTTTCATCAGCCACTTTTAGAATTTTCCTTTCTCTCCATTGGCAATTAATTTGATTATGGTTTCACAACAATCCATTGAAATATGCTCTAATCTAACACACTTGGGCCAGTTCTTACTGCTCAGGACCAGTTTCTTACCAGACTTGGCAACCGTTCGTTTCTGTTAGTAAATGATAATATCAAGTCCATTTAATAAAACAGTACACTTAAGTAATTTTGTATCTTTAAATAAAAGTTTTCAATTCCTGTAAATGTTAAGCCATACTTGTTCAATACAATTTGCATTCTCATAACTCGTATCCATGGTATTAAGTATCATATTTGGGGAGATGGTCAAGATCTCTCAACCAGCCATAATTATAATCCTTTAATTCATAAGAGTGACTAGCATCCAGTTTCTCCTCACAATAACATTGTTGAATTGGATGTCTGAGTTAGAAGAATTAAGGAAATGATCACCATTTGAAGAAACTCTTGATTGTTAAACAAATACTTCTAGTCAGTCTCTTAGAGGATGTATAGAGAACAGTATGGAGAATATTAATGCTGATGTAAGGGTTTAGGAGGTTAAAAGTGAGGTGCAAGTGAAAAACTTGGTCAGGACATTTAACGAGATGACAAAGGTGTATTTGTCCTTGTTCTTGCCAGTGCTAGTGCCAGTGTACTTGAGCATGTGCACAGATACAGCAGTGGCCTTGTCTAAGAAGAGGACCAGTCTTGAAAGAAATAAAAGCATAACTATTATGATTGTTTTTTTAAACATTCATTGCATGATGAATTTACATTACTGTGGGTCCATTTTTTAACCTTGGCTTGTCAAATGAAAGATAAACAAAACCTCAAGGCTTTAAAATTCTTATAAAAAGTAATGTTTAATGCAAAGCATTTCACAAACCTTACAGTAAATTAAAACATGCAAGTTATTTCTACAAATGAGAAGAGACCTTCTAAATCTGCTTTCCAAAAGAGAAATAATACTGAATCACCATATCTTAGTTAAATGAAAGCAATAATTGCATAAAATGAAAAGGGTGAGGGAAAAGACAACAGTCATGTCATCCCCTCCCCTCCCCCCTCCAACTTTTTTTAACATAAAACACTTCTAAATGACATTCACGCTTAAACCATGCAATCAATTTCTACAAATGAGAAGAGACCTTCTAAATCTGCTTCCCAAAAAAGATATATTCCTGAATAAAGCAATAATTGCAAAAGATGAAAAGGGTGAGGGAGAAGACAACAGCCATGTCCTCCCCCCTCCCCCTCCACCAACTTTTTTTAACATAAAACACTTCTAAATGACATTCACGCTTAAACCATGCAATCAATTTCTACAAATGAGAAGAGACCTTCTAAATCTGCTTCCCAAAAAAGAAATAATACTGAATAAAGCAATAATTGCATAAGATGAAAAGGGTGAGGGAAAAGACAACAGCCCCACCCTCCTCTCCCCCTCTCCTCCAACGTTTGTTAATGTAAAACACTTCTCAATGACATTAACTTTTAAAACATGCAACTGATTTCTACAAATGGGAAGAGACCTTCTAAATCTGTTTTTCCATAAGAGAATTAGTACATTATCACTATATGATGATTAACTAAAAACCTTAAGTGCATAAGGAGGAAATGGTGAGCCAAAAAAGCCACAAGCCCCACCCTCCTCTCCTTTAAAAAATAAAACACTTGGGTAGAGATCTTCTTAATCTGCTTTCCCATAAGAGAATTAATATATTATCACTATAAACAGAAAGCCTTAAAGGCCCATTTTCACCCTTAATGCAACATGCACCATGACCTATTTCCTGTCACACTAAACTCCTGGATTACTGAAAACCTCTTAAAAACATCTTTCTCAAGAGCCATCCTGGACATGTAGTCAATTGTTTTACATAAATACATTCACCATTCATCATTTTGCAGTTTCCTGTAGTTTTGAATTTAGTCTGTATTATATCAATGCATTCATCTGATTCCATACCAGAATAAAATGTTTGGTATTGTTTTACACAGAATTATTTTGACAAGCTCACCAAACTCATCAGGGTAAATGCAGAAGCTATTTTGAGACAACGTCTAGGGTTATAAATGACTGACCAATCAGAGGTGCTATTTAAACAAAAGCGGAGGTTCTAAACTAAAAAACAAACGAGCACCTTGCATAAAGGTTGGAAATGGGCCTTTAAGTGCATAAGGTGAAAAAACTGGGTGAGAAAAGGTAAAACACTTAGACATGCACCCATAAAATACTTAAAACTTGCAAGTAATTTCTCCGTATGAGTAGAGACCTTCTTGATCTGCTTTCCCATAAGAGAATTACTGGTAATACATGATTACTATTAAACTCTGATTTATTGATTAACTGAAAACAATAGGTATGCAAGGTGAAAAGATTGAGTGAGAAATGCAACAGCCCCACCCTCCTCCCCCCCCCTCCAATCTTTCCTTAAGGTGATGCAGATTGAAATTACTTAAATTAAAAATGCAAGTAATTTCTACAAGTGGGAAGAGACCTTCTTAATCTGCTTCCCATGAGAGAATTTACAGTAATACAAGATTTCTATTATAATATATTGATTAATTGAGAGCAACTGGTGCTTAGGGTGAAAAGGATGAGGGAGAAATGCAACAGCCCCACCCTATTTTTTCAAGGTACACTGTTCAGTCATGCACCATTAAAATACTTAAAACATGCAACTAATTTCTGCAAATGGGTAGAGACCTTCTAAATCTGCTTTCCCATAAGAGAATTGATACATTATCACTATATCCTGATTAACTGAAAACAAATCTTGAACAATCTTTAGCAAAGGGAAAAGCTTCTCAAAATTCTTCTCTCAAGTAAGAGCTTTTATTGGTCAACTGCCTCAAAAATTTCTGTTAATAAACAGCAACCTAGAGCCATTTGTTGAAATAATCCTAAAACAAATTTGATTAAGTAAACTGGCATGTTGAGGTCTCAGAATATGTACAAAAAATAGCTGTGAGTTTTGGTCTCTTAACCAGAAAATGATGAACAAGTAACATAGCAAGTTAGTTGTCATAGACAGTCTTCTGAGCATGGTTGTTAGCTTAGCCATACACTCATAGGACTCAATATTTTAAAAAACAGCTGCCTAAACTTGGTGGCTTTATTGGTTTGTCTTCTTTTGTTGCTGTTGTTGTTGTTGTTGTTGTTGTTTTCAACAGTGAAGCTCAATTCTCATCACAACTCTTTCTCCATTAAATGTGCATTCTGGGGCTTCAGCATACAATTTATTTGCATCAACATGAAAATTTCAACCAATTCTTTTTAAGTTTTTCACCATATTGACATTTTGGGTATCCAGTCAACTCGCCAACGCCAACTTGCCGACGTATAAAATCGAGTAGAGATGTTGGCGAGTTGGTCCTCAATCCAATACAACTTATTAGAAGTTAAACATACAGAAAAGTAAATGATATTTAGTAAAAAAACACTGGTGAACATTGGTGAACATCAAACAGAAACTTAAACATTGGTGAACATTGGTTATCTCGTTCGCGTCTGAAGCTGTTATAGTCATTGGTGATGTTTACCTTCTTTGTTCGCCATGAGGTTCTTATAAACTTTGTTGGAAGAAAAATTTTTTCTTTTACTAAAGATCTTTTACTTTTCTATATGTTTAACTTCTAATAAGTTGTACTGGATTGAAGACCAACTCAGCGAGTTGAACCATCAGCGAGTTGACTGTAATTCAACATTTTGTCTTAAGCATCATTCCAAGTTTCCTTTGTGGCAAAAGTTTTGCCTTGACACACAATGCATTCAGAAAAACTGTGCTGCATGACAAGACAAAACATTTGATGCATCGTGCCACCAGTTTGTCTTATTTTGTATCCATAAAATCTTCACAATTGTGAATTCCTAAATTTGCAAAATCAAAAGGAAAAAAATAAAATTCAACCGGCATAAAAAGTTGTGTTAATGCAGAAGCTACCCCTGCTTTACTGGGCAACAAAATGTCAGTGTAAGTAACTATGAAATACCATACTCAAATGGTAGATGCAGAGATGAGAGCCATAAATCTTCAGGCCTGTTTGGAACTGGTTCTTGTAGACTTCATTCTAGTCCTTTGCAAGCAGGGTCTTCTTTGCTGCAATAAAAATGTCCATATGTTAATAATTACTATAATCAGAACTGTTAGAGCTTATAGACCTTATTCTTACCATTTTAGGTGATATAGAGAGACTCTACCAACAGACTTGTTCCACGTATCCAGAAAACAAGAGATCACAATCTCATGACCTTTTGTCAAGATATCAAACAGAAACTGGGTAACATGTTAGTTTAAAGTATAGACTTGCCTTTTCAGTTAACTATCAATATTTATTCTCCTAATTGAAAAATACTAAAACCAACTTTAGTTATCTTCAGGGAATGAAAGGTAAAATGTAACCCTTTTAATTCTGTCAATTTAACATACTAATTTTTTAAATTTCCTCATGTGACATGAATGCAATAATAAGATTTTGGAATAATCAAAATAATATTCATAATAACATTGATGGTGATGATGATAATGATGATGATTACGATGATGATGATGATGATGATGATGATGACATGAAAAGAACTTGAAAAATAATACGGATTTAAAAGTCAATGTCTGTAAGCTAGCCATTGTAACTCAGGTCTATGTTCTAAAATAACAGTTAAAGGAAATACTTTCTCCAGATTTTAAAACCTACCTTCACTCCTAAAGTCAATTCTCACGTCATCTCCAATCAACATAAAAGGAGCCCACTGCGAAACTTTGGTGAACTTGTTATTTCTCATCCACTTCATGGTCTGGTGTAGAGATTCACTGGCACTTTCTCCATCAGCAAGGTGAACATAGAATTGGTTCATGAGTTGCTCCGTTGCTGTGTCCTCCACGGCCCACAGTGAAACTAACACTGAGCGAGCACCGGATCCAAGGAACGCACGAGCTATGCCAACCACACCTTCGTAGTTGACTTGACCGCGGCCACTGTGACAACAGCTAAGTACCACCAATTTAGCTCGCAGTTGAACTTTTGAAATATCCTCCATGGTCAGAAGGTAGTCTTCTTCTTGTGGAATACCAGTGCCGTCGGTTCTACGGTTAGGAGCTAAGGCAATTTGTCCCCTTTCTGCGTTACCATGAGCGGCAATGTGGATTAGACTCACACTGTCTATTCCCTCCAGTACCGCCTGCTTAGTTGCGTGCTCTCCTATCAAAGGCTGGACACCCATCAGTCGTCCAACCATTTCTACTTCCCTTCTTGCACAAGGAAGTGCAGTGATGTCCTTGGGAGCTCCTTTGTACAGCACCTCGCCAACCTTAGGATCGCCCACTATCAGTGCACCGGTGTGACTGTGATAGTCCGCTGGACTGTCCTGAATGAGCTTGAGAGTTGTCAAAGAAGGGGCGATACGGATCCTGAACTTCTCTGTTAGAAAGTTCTTGCCAGTCTCCTCACGCAAGGCTGCAAATGGGACTCGGAACATGGACCGCTCGGGAACAATGACGATTTCAGGCCCTGTAAGTAAATTGGCCACAGGAGCAATAATCAATTTGTAAAACATTTGAAGATCCCTGTCGGTGTCTGCGGTTTCATTTCCTCGGAAAGGGGCTAAGCTCTCATCATGATAGTCCGTGTCATCCAGTGATCGATCTTCACAAAGCTCTCTGGGTAACACTCCAAAGCTGCGGAAGCTTTTGTTGAAAAGGTCATCCAAATCAACAACATGCTCGGCCATCAAAGTG